TTTCTTTAAACAGATTCCTTATAAAATATAGAATAATACTAAATATTACAAGTAGTATGAGTAGGCTGTAGCGAATATATGGTGTTGATATAAAGTAAATTCATATTGAGAATAACCTGCTTTAGATATCTCACTCTCATTTTACCTTTGATGGGTCTTTTTCGGTTAGATATGACTATATTTAGTGGCCCCAATTTACCTATTTCTCATATATCTCAATGTACTTCGAGGTCATTATAGGCGAGTTTGTGTTAGTTTGCGAGTGATAAAATTCTAAGAGCGTTAAGTTCTTATCAAAAGATAAGATAAGAAGAATATTTATTCAGTTTTTCTAAAACCTTATAAAAGAACTTTACCATTTCGTATTGTCACATTCTATATCAAGTTTGATGCCTCTAACATTATTTGTCACTGTTTTCAAAAATTTTACCTGCGTATAGACAGACACACGTTTTATATTTTTATTTTGAGCATTAACATATTCTATTATAATCTTTTTTTTGGATAAATTGGAATTACCGAATATTAATCAAATTTATTCGAATATTTAATAGGAACAACCTAAAATTATTTGAAAATATGTAAATTCATTTCATATCAGGTCAAAAAAAAAGAATTGCTCTTTAATAAATCGAGACCTGGTTAGATAGATTCATCTAAGTATTTTATCTCTATTTCGTTATGGTCACGTGAAAGCTGTTGGTTCTAACATTCATTAATTAATGCATATCAGAAATATTTTTTAAAATTTATAATTTATTCAAGATAATATATTAATATGGAATTGTATGGTATTTATATGTAGAAGCTTTTATTAAAAGTAATGCAAGTACATATTTAAAAACATTTAAAAAATCGAGAATGTCCGAAATTGGCAAATTAACAATCATTATACTCATACGAATATATGTCTGTATAATAGAGCGGGTCGATGGCATAAAAATCGGGTTTTTGGCCCCCTGTAAATCAAACCGCTCTAATGTATATTTTAACATAGACTTTTAACCAATTATAAACAGAAACATTTCTCTATTCTATCATTGCACACTCTCACATTCATTGATATCCAATACATATTTCGTTTCCAAAAATAATTTTTGTTTGCATTAATTTGCTCGCGAGATTTCTCAACCTTGGCGCTTGCCATAGGATTACTTACGTGTGTTTATCATAATTTCAAATAAAGATTATTGATCAGCACTCTTTCACATGTGAGCACAAACCCACAAATGGAACAAAAGCAAGCAAACTAAGAACACTTGTTCTATGAAAATATGAAAAATAATTTGAAAAAGCAATACTAGTCGAGAAAATCACTTCCATAAATGGTGAAAATTGACGCTAGCCCAAAATGCTTTGGCCAATTACGAGGCATTAAAGACCATAAAGTTGTTGCCTCCGTTGATAATTTCAACAACTACTTACTCTACAAACTTTGCTAGTCAATATTGTAGAACACACATGTACGCATACAAACATATGTACATATATGCATGCTCCTATAACGAAAAAACATCAAGTCTGTCTAAAAATAATTAAATAGTGTACAAATTGTGTAGTTTTTGTTATTGTTAAGTGTATGAGTATATTGGAGCAGAGTGGCGGAAAACGGGAATGAAGCCGGCAATAACACGTAGTGACGGTGGCAACGACTAGCATAAGCATTGATGAAATATGACGAACCTCTTAATAGAAAACCCAACAAACACACCGAAGGATATAAGCTATTGAATAGCTTCTATCGCGGGCTTTGAGCGCGGGGACTGAAACAAGAAATTCCGTAACGGAAATGAACCTAACACGATTACAAAGTATGCACGAAATGTTTGCACACTTTTAGGCGTATTTTCGCATATCTCAAGCGGAACAAATCAATTGAAGAGACAGCAGGGTAGTTCAAAAAGAATATTTAAGATACCATTTTGTTAATGGCAAATAAAAATATGGAATATAATAAAAATAATTTATTTAATAATCAGTATCTCGTTTGAATTAAACAATAAAATTGAAGTTATGTATTTCCGCCGGATTCTCAATGGTAATGAATTTCCTCTTATCTCGGCTGGCGATTTCAACATCAACTTGGCTGATATAATTAGAGCGATTGACAACATTTCTTTCGGAAAAAATGAAGAATGATCCACAAGAGTCCACAACAATATATTGGACAACCATTGACGCGGTATTTTCCAGATATTTGTCGGATATGAACTCTCAATTTTATGTTTCTTGTTTAAGTTACCATAAACCTAAAAGTATAGCTTTAATGATTAAAATTCCTTCAATAACCTACATGTATTGTAAGCAAATAAAAATATTTTAAACAATATTAACTTCTCATTTATTCAATAAAAGAAAATAATTTGTTTTCTTATCGGTCACCACACTCAAAAAGTGTAACTTTAATTAATATTAAAGAAAAAAAAAACACTACTGCATTAAAAATAAATAAATAATTAGTCCCCGCTTGCCACACGTATTTTATATAATATTATAAATATTTTACTTCAACTAACGATTGTTTGCTACATAAATAAGAGTGCTAAATATGTATATGATTAGACTGAGAAGCTCGAAATTGGCTGTATCCAGAACAAGGTCATGGCCAGGGCACTGTGCTATTTATCGATGCAACCAATTAAATTAGAATAAATTTTGAAAAGGGGTTAACACAATGGTGTACGTTGTTTAGCAAAAATTTAAAGATAAATCGAAAAATCGAAAAATAGCTAATACTGCCCCAATATTGTATAATGAGGTTAAATAATATAGCAATATTAATATTAGGCCCACTTTAGCATTATATTTTACAAACCACCCACATTTATCTTATGGAAATTGGTTGCACCGAAGAATAATACCCTTCCAAATAAAAAAAGTTTTCCATACAAGAGAGAAAAAGGCGTTTGCAAAGTTTCAGATCGGTAACTCAAAAACTGAGGAACTTATTCGCGTATATTCAGACGGACATGGCTAAATCGGCTCAGCTCGTCACGCTGATCGTTTATTATATACCATATGTATACCATATAATTTATAGGGTCTCCGACGTTTCCTTCAGGATGTTACAAACTTCGTGGCAAGATTTAATATATGTATACCCAATATTTTATGGCAACTACTTATGTATGTACATATGTAAAAATATTACCCTTAACATGAGATATGATTAAAATCGGTCAACAACTCTATTTTATACCAAAAATTAATCCCGGCAAAAATTAAATTAACATTTTCTTCCTCTTATAAGCTTGATTTACAAAATTTTAAAATAGTTTTACTCCCACAATCGATTTTCTTGTAACTATGAACAGCACGCTGCTTATGAATTACTGGGTTACTGTTATTACACACGATTTTTGTCATGAAACAATAATTTATTGAACGTTCGTTGTTTTTTCATACAGACATACATATGTATGTACATTTATTTATTGAAGTTTTGCAATTGTAAATCTCTCAAGCAAACGAATGTTGTCGTTGCAAAAAGGAAATCTAACTTTGAACTACTTTTGCCTATATGTCCAAAAGTAGCGGTCAAGGTGAACTCCTTTGTTAAGTTGGTTTGTCCTTTAGTGGACTCTAGCACATAATGTTATAACACGTAGATGAAGAAATAAAATAAATAAAAAAGGTTTTTGTGGACTTAGCAAGAGGAGCAAAATAACTCATACATACATACGTATATAAGTATAAATACTTCTATTGAGAAGTAAAAACATTTCAAATTGTTGGTAAACGAACAAAACATCCACACACCTAATAGATCAGAGTAAATAACTTTTGAAAGCAAAAAAATCACAGTAGGATGAAAGCCATTGAAAAGATAAATAACTAAAGATAGGGGAGTGCTTGAATTTTTAAGGGTTAAAACGGTTTATCTCGATTTCTGGCAAAACAACGAGTCCTAAGAAAAAATGTTATGGGTAATAAAAAAATCACACCTTCACATAACCTGCAAACTCAAGTGAAAATTTTTAGTGCCCCAGTTTTTGTTTTTTTATTTTTTACCAAAAAAATTATTTTTAAAAGAAATTTTATGTAAACTAGTCTCGATATGTCCCAAGAAAACTACAATTTATTTGCTTTTAAAATATTTATTTCACCTTATTTTGACTTAATAACAGGAAAAACACAAATTTTAATAAATAATTCTAACTTCAATATATCAAGTTTTTGATAATTTCGCAAATAAAAGGTTTTTATAATTACTTCTCTTATTTTGCTTAAATTCGCTTATATTGAGTTTATCCATTCGAAGTTAATCAATTAAAAATTTAGCATTGAAATTAGAAATAGATGTTTTATTGAGTTTACAACATTTGATAGCTTAAATTTGGCAAATTCTTCTTGACATTTAACTGTAACTTTATTTTTGCTTCTTTTCATTTTATATTTCGGTTGGCAAAGAAACTAGGGCCATGCATTCGAACACTCGATCTTTACTGTGAAATTTTACTTAATTTTGGTAAATAGGAAATACATAGACATAGTTATGTATAATTTTAGGTTACTAACATATATGTATGTATATGTACATAAATGTATATATGTATAACATGGATAGGTACACGCACCTTCTGTCACCTACATAATACACATACCATATAAATAACATATACAGATGTATGTATACTCAATTAAACACCACGAGAAAAGATGCATACTGGCAAATTTATTTTAGTGAAATTAAAAAAAAAATTAAGTGTTTTAATTTTTGAACGGCATAACAATGCGAAAAGAAATGTCGGTATGAAATCGTTGTAATTTTTTTTCAGATAATATTTATTTCATATTATTTATTTACAATTGGAAATTTTAATTATGTTATTTTAAATATGTGTTAATATGATATTCCGCATTCTACTTTATAATACTTATAGGTATCGTATATAATTTACTATTTATAACACATTTAAATGTTTTGATGAAACGTAAAATATTTTCTACGAAAATATTCAACTCTATAGTCTGTGAACAAACCTAAAAACACATGTCACAGTAGTGTCAGAAAATGTAAACAAAAACACAGGTACTCTAATTAAAGCAAAGCACATTATTTTTGATTTTCTGCTTTTAGTTGTTTGCATGGGCGAATATTAAAATATTCATGGTGAAATGAGCACCCGTAACCGCGGCAAAGGAAGACGTGGAGGAGGAGCACACGGACAATATCGCAACGTAAAAACGAATCGCAACTGCGAACGTCAATTAGCGCAACGTGCCTGCGATCTGGCTAGTAATGATAGTGATAGTAGTTCCTCATCCTCGGATGCTGGTATCGATGGTATAGGACATCCACCAGACTTTCCTATCGCTATGTGGGATCTGAATCATTGCGATCCAAAGAAATGCTCTGGACGAAAATTGGCACGCCTAGGTCTTATTGAAAACTTGCGTTTGGGTCAAAAATTCCCAGGTCTTGTTCTTACGCCGGTTGGTGTAAATTGTGTCAGCCCACTTGACAAAGATATAGTTGGAGCGGCAGGAGTAGCAGTGGTTGATTGTTCATGGGCTAAACTGGAAGAGACGCCCTTCAATCGCATGCGTAGCCCACATCCACGCCTGCTACCGTATCTTGTGGCAGCTAATCCCATTAACTATGGAAAACCCTGCAAATTGAGTTGCGTTGAAGCAATTGCAGCTACACTCTACATTTGTGGCTACGTGGAGGAGGCGCAATGGTATATGGGCAAATTTTCATGGGGTCATTCTTTCATTGAACTGAATGAAACACTGTTAAATAGTTATGCTGATTGTAAGTCCAGTGAAGAGATAGTACGGGTGCAAAATGAATACCTAGAAAAGGAGCAAGCTGCACATAATAAACCAAAGGATTTCAGTGAGTTCTACCCGACGAGCAGTAGCAGCAGCGATGAAGAGGATGACGATAAAGATATAGAAAAAGTTTGCAATCAAACTGATGTTGCAAAAAACTGATGTGTATATTTTCAGTTCTTTTGAAAATAAATAATTTATAAAAGTTCAAAAACATATTTTAAATCGCACAAGAATTGTACTAAAACAAGGCTTTTTAAGATTTAGAAAATATTTATTCTAATTTAAGAACTCATACAAAAGTAATATTCAGATATTAATTGTAATATAAATTCCAATTTTAAATACAGCAAATCTACATTTGGCAATAGATTAAAGAAATTATTTATTAAAAGTTGATATCACTACAAAGGGGACCCTCTACAAAGTTGTATTGGTATGCTGGTCGCGCATTAAAATACAATATGACGTGCTATGAATATGCGAATTAAGAATATATAATGAAATCCTTTTGTTCACTGACGAATCCAAGCAACAGTTTATTTTATAAAAGTGGCATATCCATTGGCACAACTTCCAAATCCTCAGCACATTTAAAATCATTGAGTATTACGATGGTACTCCGGACTAACATTTACAAAATTAGTCATGCTGAAATAAGTGGCACTATTCTTCACAAGGAATTTGAGAAAGTCGTGAAGGTGCACTAATAGCATCTGCATTGATTTCTCATCTAGTGCGGAGAATCCCAGCATTGATCCAAGTTTAACGAATAGACGTAGCAGATGAAATCCGCCATAAAGTTTGGAAAGTGGTGTTTCGGGATGTTGTTGCAATATTTCCGCGTATTGGGGTCGTTCAAATTTATAGAGCAACTGCGAACCTATCATAACATTAAAATATTCAACAACCCCATTTAGCACATCGTTAATTGCTACTTCTTTGGAAGCATTTGTCGATTTTGATGTTTTCTTAAAGGCAATATATTGGTCAACAATATCCTGAACTGTAATCTTTGCAGGAATGTCGAGCAGTTTGTGCTGGCGTGTAATAGCATCCCAATCATCGGCGAGGCATTGCTTAAGCTCATCTGGTATTTTTATTTTTACCTCCACTTTGGAAAGGAATGTTTCTTCATTTTCCACACACGTGTCTAAACGATTTTGATGTGATGAGCCTGTACTTCCAATGCTTGTGCTACTAGCTGCAGGCGTTGATATTGTATTACTGCTTGTACCCGCTCCGCTTCCATTAGATTTGTCACTTGCGTTTGAGGTCGATCCTCCACGCTTCTTTTTCGGTGGCTCATCTTTGATTGTTTCATCTTTATTACTTGCAGCAGCGGCAGTAGTATCATCCTTTCCGCTGCCATCACTATCTTTGGCGACTGGCGTACTAGTTGTTGGTTTTGAGCGATTACTTCTTCCCGAGGTTGATGGGGCTGCCAAGGGAGTTGTGTTTAAATCTTTTGATGGCGTGGATGCACGCGATTCACTGCTGCCACTAGCAGTACCGTCTTTTGAGGTGGCACCAGCTCCTTCGCCCTTTTTACCCTTTGGTGTACCTACGTAAAGATAAACATTTAGTAAGAATTCAATATCTATTTATATAGCTACGAACTTACTCTTTTTATTTTTTCCGGCTGCATTCGAATGTTGTTTATATACTTCTTTTTGACGTTGAACATTTGCTTCATTGTACTTTAGCACACGGTTCTCTGGCACCCATTCATCCCAACTAGGTTTGGAAAAATCTATATTAGTTTAAAATGATAGAGGAATTTACATAAATACTTACTTTTTGTTCCAGCCAGCATAGTGAATGTAGTACTTTATTTGCTTATCTTTAGTAATTGTACTTTTAAGGGCTTTGGCTTCGTAAATAAGTGGTCCATGGAAACATAATACTTTTTCGCCTATGTAGGTATAAGTTTATAATAAATATTATTAATTAGCCACTTTTAAAAACAACGTTTGCATATACACTACGATTTATACATACCTTCGACGAATTTTAGTTTGGGCGTCATTTCACTTTGAGAAGTTATTTTGATAATATTTAGTAAAAGCAGGGTGTAAAATTTGTTTAAATTTTGAGTTTATGAATGTTGTTTTGTTGGTGAAAGCGATTTCTTCTCACGGATTGTATATTTTGAAGCAGCTGAGAATTTTTTCTTGAAATGTCAAAATGTTTGATCCACTTGATGACATTGCCAACATAACGAATGTCATTTATTTAATGTGTAACTGTTCTCACTTTACTGTTCACAATAATAAAATGAACATATTTTTTTTAATTTAATGTAATTTATTTGCAAACTCAGTATAACAATAAAACAAATGACTTAAAATCTATGAATGGTAGATACATAAATAGTAAATGTTTCACACTTTTCTAACCAAATTTTTTTCACCGACTATTGTGTCTCCTCCCATGGTCTAGGGCCGCGCTTGTTCTCCCATTCGTCAATATTCAAGTTTTTTATTCTTTCATATTCTTTGTCCAGTGTCACTTCATCTGGTTTTTTCATTGTTACACCATATTTCTCCATTTCTTCTGGACTTACCGGCTGCTTACGAGAGAACTGATACCTAATAAGCATCAAAAAGATGTCTGCATGTGTATATAAATTGGTTATGCTATAATTAACACATCCTTACCTGAGACGGGTGAATTGCTCTAGCCCAAAAGAGCCTCCCACCATTAAAATTAAAAATGGCACACCATATTTGATAGATTTTTTTTTAATTAGAACATTTAATTTTTGCGTTAGCGACATTTTTATGTACCGACTAATATTTACATAAATGTAATCAGCTGTGGGCAATCTCATGTTGCCGGACTTCTTCTGAATATAATATAAAATAATTTTATATTGCACAAATAATAAATGGCGTATATCTAGTAAGGTTAGTAATACGCTAAATAATTTCGGATTGCTTACATAAAATAAAAATGGGATTCTAAAAATGTTATTAAAATGAAAAATTTCAGACAACAAAATTAATGTTGTGTATGTATCTATAAATAAAGTGAAGGTTATGTAATTATATAGTTTTAGGGGTACGAGTGTGCGTTTATACTTATTTTACTTCCAGTTCCGTTTTTGTATTTGACATTTCATTCCATAGAGGAAATAACTGAAGTTTTATTTATTATATACTGTAATTTTAAAATCCTACGCTGCCAGGATTTCATTGAACAGATATTAGTTGTGCACTTAATTTTCCGAGATACATTCACCACCACATAGTTATAGACGTTATTTCAAATAAACAACCAATAATATTTGTAATTACATTTATTATAGCTTTTCTCAAAACTTTCATCAGATAAAAGGCTTGTGCATTCATGTACGTTCTTACATATGTACATGTTAATATGTAGTTATATACAACATACTGATTATGGTATCTACAAATTTACATAATTATACAAATAATAATACTTTTTAAATCCACAAAGTAATGCAGTTGAAAAATTGCAAGTAGACAGAACATGCATACATATGTAAAAATTTAATCCTATTGTATATGTACATAACTATTTTCCAACCGTTATAAGTGCGTTGTATTGTTTTCTTCAAATGCAGGATTGATCTCGCCTGCAACATGCAAACGTTGAGGCACAAAATCACTTTGTTGTAACTGAATTATCTTCGCTTCAGCTTGCGCGCTTATAGGGATTTGTAAGTTTTGAAGATTATCCAATTGTATGGCTGTCTTATTCAAATCTTGACGGCATGACTTTTTCAACAAATTCGTTTTCGATTTTTTAGAGAAATGCGCCTCAATTTCCTAAAAGCAAAAATTGTAAATTATAAAAGCTCATTGATGCGAAAAAAAACTTTTCATACGTGTAAGGTGCGTCCCTCGGTTTCTGGTAGTGTAAAATACAACACTAATGCGCCAAACAAGGCCACTGCCGAATAGAGCCAGAATGTGCCCGGCAAAGTAAACGCAGACAGCATTTGTAGAAAAAGTTTATTAGCCAAAAATCCGAAAATATAACCTAAACCACTGACAAGGCCTGAAGCAGTGCTGCGTACTTGAGCCGGAAATACCTCACCGATAAGTATCCAAGGTATCATACGTATACCGATATGTGCGAAAAAAGCGCTGCCTAATAATAAAATTAATGGAAGCCAAACCAAGTTGTTGGTTGTTTGTGTTGGTACTGGTAACAACACCTCCTTGGACATTTCTACTGTAGATGGTGAGCCTGCAACGCGCTTGTCAAGAATAATTGACGCCAAAGTTGTAGTCAATTCTTCCTCTAAGTTTTTTGACACTGTTGTGGTTTCTGCTTCCTCCTCAGAGTCAAAAAGGTTTAAAAATGATGTCACATTATCGCTTCCATTATTTGCATCTTGATAATCTAAGCCAGGTAATTGTATAAAAGTCAAAGGATCATTATAATCATTAAGGGAAAGCTCTTGCTCTTCCCGTTTAGTGCGATTCAATGCATTCTCGCTACCATTAATGGCTACGAGTGTTGTCGTCTCTATGCCGCCATCATCTAAGAATGAGTATAATGTTGTTGTATTCAACAATTTGTCAAGCATCAAACTATCGGGCTGCAAAACTGATATCTCGTCTTCAAAAATTTTACTAATATTGGCTTGAGTTATTAAATTCTCGCTTGGGACTATATTAGAAGCATTTATGACTACATTGTTTACGGCAAAACCAGGTACCACCTTGACATAGTGTGCGTAGGTAGCGGTACCAAACATACAAACCCCAACACCGATGGTAGATATCATAACCAATGGACGCTTGCCGGTGAAGTGGATGAGGAAGACACATAATATTGTTGCGATCATCTCGGCAACTCCCAATAAAATAGTAGCGTGATATTTATTGATTGGTGCTTTCAGTGTGTGGAATATCTGCAAAAATAAAAGGGTAAATAAGAATATATTTTTTAAGCATAACATGTGTTATATGATTATACCTGCACCGCGTACGTCTGCAGCGGAGTCTTGCCAGAAAAATGTCCGGTAAAGAATGTAAATGTGACCAATATAAACGGTACCAGAAAGGAACGTTTGCGAAACATTCTAAAGCGATTGGTCCACTTGGACGGCTTTTCACCATGATTTTCGACGGCTTCTTCTAAAGCCGGTTGTGTAATCAATTCCTCATAGAGTCGATTAAACTCAGCTTCGATCATATATTCGGGCACCCAACCGCGTAGCCATTGCAATGATTTTACAGCCTCACGAAAACGATGTTCACGTATCAACCACGTCGGACTTTCAGGTACAAAGCATAGCGCTATTATACAAATAATCGGAAATGCTGAACTCAATGCAGCTATTGTGCGCCAATCCATAAAAGAGCCCATAATGAATTGTATGAAGACGCCGGTGATGACGCATGTCGAACCGAGCGCCGAGAGTATACCACGATATTTGGGCTCAGTGATTTCGGCAACATAAGTCAATACCTGTATATAACATATATATCAAAAAGTACGATAATAATACAAGTTATCATATAAATAAATACATATGTACATCAGTGCACATTAAATTACCGGCGCTTCCATAAGACCGCCACCCATACCGCTTAAACAGAGCGCCGCATACAAATGCTCTGTGCGCGTCGAAAAATGAAAGAGTAGCCATGAAGCCAAAATCGGTATATTAACCAGCTAAATATTTTGTAATTCAATTAGTTTTGAATGTAAAATAGACAAACTAGATTACATTGTTTACCTGCATCGCGCGCCGCTTTCCAATCGGTTGAGAGAGAACACCCGAAAAAAGGCAACCCAAGGGCACGCATATTAAATTTATTGAACCTGAAACATTTACATTTTCTCTAATTAACTGAAAAATATACTACTAGCTGCATTTTTGTACATAAATATATAATATTTTACGCACAGAATAAGTGTACTTTTTGTAATTAAGACACGCATACATATATACTTATTTATTGAGTAGTATATACATATTTATTTGCATAACTGTTATCTGCTAAGCCCACTGTAAATTCAATTATATCGAATTTTATTGTTTGCAAAAAGACAAAAATATTATTATTAATAGTTATATTATGTATATAATTATTCAAGAGCTGTTAGTTTTATTAATCGCAGATTATTTTTAGTGATACTCGAAGAAAAAAGCATCGTTTTTAGAAACTAAATGAAAAATCGCTTGAAACTAGTAAAAATATTGTCAAAGAAAATCCTAATAAAAAACGAACCGGAAACCCAAAATATTTATGAAAACAGCTATTATTTACTAAACAATTTTAATCCAGATAAATTAACTTTTTCTCTTAGATCTAAACTTTGGCCTCTCTCGCCAGTAGCCTATTAAGAATATGACTCCCTACATATTATTAAATTATATATATATTTTTTTAACAAAAGTTTATGTAACACTTTAAATTAAAAATAAAATACTAAAATTTTGATAATTCTGTTTACGATAGACTTCAAATAAGGTAAAAAAAAGGTTTAGGAGGTCTTTATATGAATCAGTTTAGTAATTAAACTGTGGACAGTTCTCTGCCCACTTTCACAACTCACAAGCTACTTGACCAATTTGTACCAAGTTTAATTTATAAAATCCACTTACCCTCTTAAGTCTTGAAATCGAACCGTAAGCTTACCTATTTCTAAGCAAAGCTTTGAGGCATTAACTTTTCAAAACAAAAATGAAACATATATAAAAGTATCAAAAAAGAGAAGTAGCACAAAAAACTCCTTACTTGCGGCAAGATTCCAAATTATCAATTTATATCTGTTCGTTTAGGTTTAAAGCGGACAACTCGAATAATAATAAACTAGGTATGTTACCCTTAGTACACGGCAGATATATCCTTATGTTACAGAGATCTTAGATTTTTACAGTTAGTGAATTTTTCCATTCGAACTTAAAACTTAGATGATCTTTTAGTTTTAGAATTTTTCTCGAATCCTAAATCTCAAAATTAACAAGTAAGCAAACGCTAAGTTCGGATGTAACCGAACATTTTATACTCTCGCAAAGTCAAATGATATACTCGTTTGAGGTTTCTTTATACATTTTGCTTGATTTGCATAGTGGAAAAAGAAAGAATCAAATGAGTCATCTCATGCCATCCTAGAGATAATATTTAATGTCTCTGGCGTCATTTTTTTAAAAAAATTTAAACTGCAGCTGTCCCTCCCTAATGTGATTCTGTGTAGCTTAGTTATGGCAATTTATTTGTTTATGATTAATGGCGTTTTGTGGGCGTGGCAGTGGTCCGATTACGCCCATCTGCAATACCAACTGTCTTACGGTGCCAAGAAAATGTGTACTAAGTTTCATAAAGATATCTCAATTTTTACTCAAGTTACAGCTTGCACAGACGGACGGACAATCACCCGGATTTCAACTCGTCTCTACATCCTGATCATTTATATATATACAAGTATAACCCTATATCTAACTCAATTAGTTTTAGGTGATACAAACAACCGTTAGGTGAACAAAACTATTATACTCTGTAGCAACATGTTGTGAGAGTATAAAATTTACTCAATACTTGTAAAATTTACTACAGTTTGCTAGGTTAGTTGCCAAAGAAAATCTCGAAGAAAGCTTTTAACTAATAACAACTTTAATGGTGGCATATTGCTAAGTGTTTACACTTGATAAAGTTCTGTAATTTCTACAAATCCTTAATGAAGGCGAAATAGTCAAAAAAAGTTTATAGCTAGAATTATCGCATTGAACATGAACTAATCAAAAAATACCAGCGTTGTACCAATTATGAACCACTTATAGGTAGAGTAATTAGTTATTTAATTTGACATCAATGATTAACAAATAACTGCAATTATTTACATTAATTGTATTTCACTGCTGGGAGAATATAGAGTAACTCAAAATTTTAGAATCTAGAAATTTGGCTTTGGTTCATAATTGATTAAGATGTAATATTTTTTAACAGTTTTGAACTAATATTAAACTGGTTTAATTCTGACCAAAATCTGAGAAATCACAGCTAGGAGCTCCATGTAAAAAATGTCCCATACTTGTTTAGTCTAAAGATATTTGACTGCCTAGTTGGACCTAAATTCATTCTTGTCAGTAATGCAAATATGTATATCTATATGTATGTATGTATGCATGCATAATTTAACTTCAATTTGCGCTACTTACTGAACCAAGATATCTCATCTCTGTTTAACACTATATCACTGGGTTCACGTCCATCACCACCCTGTATGGCTGGTATCACAATGGTGGGAAAACCAAGCGTCATACCATATACTGTTGGAAAAAAAATAATATTATCGATAATATATGTACATATTTCATAGGTTTATATATGAAAATTAAAATTTTTATCTCAGATGTTTAGAATATTTTGCTGACTAATATATCCAAAGGAGTATAACTTCATAATACTGAAAAAATTTACTTGCTAAAAATATTTTTAGAAACTTTTATTTTCGCTTCGACTAAAATGAAACTTCAAATAGGAGCTTTCACTCAAAACAATATTAACCAATGAAGATATGAGTTATTGTTGCGAGTTTTTTAATTAAAATGTTATGGATTATAAATTGAAATTTTATTTTTAACTTAATCCCAAAAACAGAATTTAAAATTGGAAATTTAATTTAGTTATCATAATTAAAAATTTTAAATTTTAATTTCAATCACAAAATCAGAATTAAAAAGAGATTAAATATTTTTTAATTGAAAAATTGGAGTGACAAATTAAAACATAATTTTTCACATCAAAAGCTGGAATGGAAAGGAATAAAAAGGAAATACTTACATATTTCTAACTGAAAAACTATAATTAAATGTAAATATGACAAAAAGTGTTAAACTATATTTAGAACGCAAACGCGAAATAATTTAAATTACAAATATATAATCTTTTTAATATTTAATATTGAATTTTTTTCAATCCGATATTTAGTATTAAAAAAATGTTTTTTTATTATTTTAAATCCGAATTCTGGGATTAAACATTTATTTTTAAGTCTGCAATCTGATATTTGGCATAAGAAATTGGAAAATTATTTTTAATTAAGACTTTCGGGATCACAAAATAAAAAAAAATTAATTCAAATGTTAATCAAATCTCGTTTTAATTCATTATTTACTGCAATCCAATTTACTATTCAGTGAACTTCTCTGATCACACCAGTATTAGCAACAAAAAAAAATTCCGCTTAAACTCGAAAATTAAAACTAAACTATTTTTATTTTATAATCTACATTGCTTGTTATTTACCAAAAAGTAATATATTCTTAGCGCTTACAGCTAAAAATTGTGGTAAGGCTCTGCGAAAAGTACTAATCTCCCGAGGTTCACCGGCAATATCTGAAGACCTGTTGCCATTTTGTATAAAATACGGCTGGTTATTAACAGTTCTGAAAATAGAAAGGAAATAATTATAAAAATAATTAAATATTTTAGCTAAAAATTGTGTTGTTATTACCCACAAACACAACATTGTATTGTTTATTTAATTAATTTAAAATGGTTTATTTATATACAAGCAATTATTGTATGAATTATAAATTTGTAGATTCATATGTACATATATACATATGTAAAAAAATGGAATTTTTATTTGAGAAAATATTTTATAATTTATTTAGTAAAATATTTAATATGTTAATGGATTACAATTGTATTGCTGTTTAAATAAACAATACAAAACTTGCATATAAATAACGGTACGAATAGTAAAAGGTGTAGATTTGTTAAATCAAATAAATTTACATAAATTATACCATTGGAATTACTTTTAATACTTTCAACTTTCAATTACAAGCATACTAATAAGTAAAGTCTAGCTTATCTCAATAAGCATTATTAGTTTTTTAATCCAATGTGAAATAAGATCTAAGTTATGTGGACATGTGTGCTTTTATAGACTTATTGATCTTCAGCACAAAAGTTGATTACAAAATAAATAAGAAAGCGCTATGTTCACATAGAACTAAACATAAGGTTTATAATTATATAATAAATTTTAATATCTGCGAATAGATGACTTAGTAAAACCGTCAAACTTTATTTGTAATTATTTGAGTTCATGGCATGACGATTCAATATGTGACGAAACTTCCGTAATCTCTATTTCTATTATTCTTCACTAAATACTCTCACATATGTTAAGAACAGAAGACGGTCAAGTATTTCTTGATAACGCACTATATCAAAAGTTAAAAAAATCTGTTCCTTACCATAATTTCCAACACTGTCCGAAGGGAAATATTTGTTAGAATAGGTTGTGGCGGGCTTAAAAAGTTAGGTCTGTATAGAATTCAAAAAAATTAAAATTTATTTCTTGGCTTAATGTACACCCTGAATCCAAAAAACATTATTTAATTAGAAGAATAGTCACAATATTTCCCCTGTCCAATCCGCTGTTGTGTTGCAGCATATGGGTTAGTCAGCTTCAGCACGTTAAACTTTAAACGCTATTTTGTCGAAACAGCATTTTTGAAATCGGGCTCTATCTAGTAAACTACGTACGATTTTGTTGTTATTATAGCAACTATTTTTATAAATCACTAGCAGATTACTCCATTTGCCATCCCACTTGGGGAGAGAGGATATCATATAGACGATAAGATGTGAACATGGAATTTTTAATAATATTTATATTCAATTCTGCACTCGACCGAGTGAGCCGCGCTGCACTTTATTTCTTCACACGCGACTTTTTTTTTACTATTGTATATTAAATTAGTGATATCTTTCGAATGGAAAAGTATTGAATCAGTTTTGAATATAAAGTAATTAATTTTGATAGGGATTAATACTAAGGTACAAATAAAGACATTTTTTTAAATAAATAAATACTTATTATGACATATATGAAGTCATTTTTGTATAGATAAATCTATGATCTGCTAAGTCGTATTCGCATATATAACCTATGTTCACCAGAGAAGTGTAGCTTCACACCGGTAAAAAAGGTTTTCAAATCGGTCAAGTAATTTCAGATCCTTTTCAAACAAACAAACAATAAAATATGTAATGTGTTGAATAATATCTCGTTTTTTTACTTTGTTTCAGATATCAAGCTGAAAAAGGTGATTCCGAAGATGGGCAATCTTCAAAATTGACACAATTTGGTATCAAAATGTGATTATGCATTTTTTCACCCAAATACATCTTCAATAAAGCCTGAAAGAAAAAAATTCAATTAATTTTTCCTTACTCCCAAAATAAATGATCAAAGTTCAGCCATATTTAGTACTCTAGACTGGCCTAACCCCTTAAGGAATCACTTAGACCGATGTCCATCCATATTTGTGCTATAGCTCTTCATATTAAGTAAAACTTAAAAATTTTGTGAGGATATCCCACATAGTGTTTGAATTATATATTGCAAATTTAGTTAATCTAAACGGTCGAGACTACCTACTAAATTCTGTTTTGTTTTTTACTGATTTTCGTCGGAACTAACAGTTAAAAAATATATATGACGATTATTGATTGATATTGAGGCCATTGATCGTTAAAAAAGCATATTATATATAAGTTTAAAATGGGCTGACTAAAAGTGAAAGGAACCATTTATTAACTATATATATATATATATATTTGTATTAACATTTTTCATTTAGTTAAAATTAAAAGGATGAGTATTTTTCAAATTTTCTTAATCACTGTTGATTTTAATGGTGTAGACCTTTCTGTCAAAATAGTCATAATTCCTTACACTTAATATAGGTATGTACTATATGGTAATAATTAGCCCTATAGAAACACATGTTAAAGACTAATTATTTTTAACTCTGATACGGAACGACACGTGCACGGCCCATTTCTAAGCCTACAAATTTCTTATCACAAAACCAATTTTCGTAATTTATTTACATTCATTTATAGTATAATTCCACCAAGGCATAATAATTACTCTCAAGGTGTGCCGGAAAATATGTTATACTAAAATTTAGTAAAATTCAAATTGATCACCTAAGGTTAATCCGTATCTATGGACGATGCTAAGGATATATACGAAACTAAAAGAAATGGCTACAATAGACTTACTTTCAAAAAAACTGTAATTACTGTTAGTGATACCGCTATATTGCATCAAAGAAATCGTAGTTTGAGCGTTATCTTAATAACTTTCAAAATGAATGCCGCAGGGAGTCAGAAAACACACAAAATCGCACTTAAGTTCACGATTATTGTACAATTTCAATACTGATGCTAAGTACAATATTTGAACAAAAATAATATCGTTAAATTTTTTGAGGAGCGTCTCACATCACATTTTTTTAAATGACTCTTCGAATTCCGTTCCCACGTCCATCGTACTGATGCCAACGAAACGGACCCGAACATTTCGCACAACATTCGGGTCTATGCAACAAAACGTACGCAGATTTTTATCAAATTAAATACTGTCAACTTGGCAGCAATTGGGAAATGTTTCTGCAATACAATTTGCAATTGTTTTATGTCTGAGAGAATACATAGACCATGTTGAATGCTTTGTATAGGTATTTAGCTGGATGATAACCTATTCATGAGATTGCTCTCAGGTTCTAAGTAACCGCAACGAAAAAGCAAAACAAACATTTGGAATGCTCAAAAATATAAGGAAATCATCTCAGTTATCCATCTGAACAAAACTGCGTTTATTTGAATCGATCATTGCCTACGCAGAATACTACGTATTTACTGTCTGAATATTATCTCCATTCAAGCACTATGGAGCCGCACACAACAAAATCCATTGCTAATCGAAATTTGCAAGCCCCTAACGCAGACCTGTAAACAACATCGCAAACTTTTTTTATTGATTAGAAATAAAGCCTATAAAATGTGATATATGTGTGATAAGCTTGATAACAATAAAATTATAAATAATTTGATCTATGGTTTGCATAAAAAATTGGAAAGTAGTATTGGGAAAAAATATTTTTAAAATGCAACAATTTTGCCATTTTACATAATTTCACAAGATTTCGGTGCGTTAGAAAAACTGGTAAAAGGCTTTTCATTTATCAGTTCAAAATCATCTCATAGCTTAATTGAACAAACTTACTGTTTTTTTTACCAATTTTGGAAAGTATCAATTAAAATCGCCACACAACGTCTTTAATTAAACGGTCATTCAGAATTACTGGCTTGAAAAGATCGATTGATGTATTGCCAAACATAAAACCTGTCACAGTGGAAATTAACTTAGTATACGAGTATGGAGGTAAGTATAGTATATAGGTACATATGTATGTACCAACAATTGTGTACGTTTACTGTAAATGGAATTTACCCGTTTTTAACTTCCGTTGTTTTGTCCATAGCCGTCATAGTGTTTGTGTTGAAACTAGTGGAATGCACGTTTTTTCTATATATTTAGCATATTCTTCTTTTATTGTAAGTATGTGTATAGAATCGTCGGCATATCACACATTGTTATTTTTTACACAGTCTCGCACAATGTTGTTATTGTTCAAAAATTATGTATCACAGTTTTTTCGCGAATAGTTTCACTGATTAACGGTTTTTTTTTTAATTTACTTTTTTATTTAATTTATTTTTTTACAATTTGTTTTATTATTTATGTTTCACCTTCATTTACTCACTGTTTACATATGCACATACATACGTATTTATGTGGGCGTGTTTTGCTTATTATAGGGAATTTGTGCATAAAACGTGCAAATTTTATTGCCTTCAACCAAGAGGCGCCCAATTATCGTAATGGTTGTATAGAAATCGCTGCTGTTGCTGGTCACAATGGAGTCAAATACTGTTTAAATAAGCATAATAAAAATCATTAATTACAAAACTGCGCTAAAGTGAGCAGAAAAAGATGTCACGTTTTTTGTTTTTATATTTGAAATTAAGTTATTTAAACGTTTTTCTACTATAAACTTAAGCACAGCTTTTGTATTTAGTATTTTGTTTCGCAGAGCTCACCTACCACATACAATTTCATATGTACATATATTTGTTTGTATATGTGTTTATGGTGTATACGTTTTTTGAATATAATAAAGTCAATTAGACAGCGTGCACAAGCGCATCACAACTTTTATGTAATATGATAACTTTGCAAAAACTTTAATGGCATTTATGTATAGATATAAATAAATATACATATGTATAAATAAATATACATATGTGTGTTAGTAGGTGTCTATGGGCTATTAAAAGAGTTCAAGTTGAATACGATGACCGCCGTAATGTTAACAATCTTAATTAACTTTACTAAGGTGCTTGGAAACAAAACTATGAGATCGTCTTAAATAAAAAATCGAAATAAATGAAACTAAAATTATACACACTAGAAGAAAAGCATAGCGAACACTTAATGAAAGGCATGCATTTATTTTCAATTTTATTTACTTCTGTCGTTTAGATGACTTTATATGCTTATATAATTATTTGTAGTAATATAACTCGATTCTGTTTGCTTCGTTGTGTGTGAAGGCGTCGAAGAGAAATCGTTGTGTGCTCTAAGCATCTTCAGCAAGTTGAAAGAACTATCACATTTTAGCACGAACTTGTAAGAAATCAGGCTCAACTTTGAAATGTGGTTAAGAGCAGCAAAAAAAAAAACAAGAAGTAAAATAAATAAGAAATTAAAAAAAAAAACAATATGTTAAGTGATGCGAAGAAGTTTCTTCACTCAAACAAGTTTTATTAATTTCGAGGTGTTGCGCTTTTTAATTGCTTACATTAAGCTTACTGCAAGCTTATGGACATATTTTTTACAGCAGAGATATTTGTATTCATATGCCCTTCAAACCGTTGTTGAATTTGTTATCAAGAAATATTTTACATTTTGTATTCAAATTATTTTAATTAGTTGCGTTTACTGTAGTCACGAACTAAATTTTAAAAAACTTTGAAATACGCAAAAATTATGATAATCATCATAAAAACTCAACATTAAACACCAAATTGAGTTTTTCAAAAAGTTTTGGTATTAAAACACTGTCCATAACTAAGACATTAGTAATCCAGTAACTGATATTACTTTGCGTTATATATTATATGGTTAGATTGATGATAAACTAACTTTGAGCATTATTTTAAGTTTCCACAAGTACTACTTTACAGTATTTATCATATTTATTGAATTACTAATTCGTGATATTACTCATACGCCATGTAGTTTTTTTTTTATCAATATTGTGTTTCTAACTATTTTCATAACAATTAAATATTAAACGTTATTAAACATATCTTTAGAGCGCAGGAGGATTATTTTGTTATTATTGTATCACATATATATACCACATATAAACATAAATATCTATGTTTATATCGAAATCACTTAGAAAATTACTCAAAAAAATCACTGAATTTCAGAAAAAACTAACGTTGAGGCACACAAAAGTTGGCCATAACACAAATGTTCTAAATAAAACTGTATATAACACAAAAAAATATTATTATATATTCATTATTATTATATATTTTTAATTATAAAATATTTGATTCTATTGTTACTATTCACAAAGTAAAATACTCCGCAATTTTTGTTTCTCTAATGATTCGAATGATTTATGAGTTGAAATTAAAAGGTCTATGATTTTACTATGCCACTGCGAATTAATATGTATTTTTTATTTCATGTTATTTGCTATATCAATTTTATTTTAACACCATTAAATTTTTTAGTTTTAAATTATGATAATTTCTTCATTGTTATAGCACCAAAGCAGATCTGAATTAATTTACATAAAAATACATTTTTGGCTATAAAAATATTTACGCAAATTGCCACGATTAATTAGGCGATACCAATTTAATTAACAACGTTTTGACAAATTGTGTTTTTTTGTTATAGTTGCTTTTTTTATTAATCCATAACAAAATAAATTAAATAATAATATTTAGCACATAACAATATGAGTAAACTAGGCAGGTTGTTACACGCAATTAATTAGTAGATAATTATAATTCAAAAATAAGTAAAAACATTTTTAAACAATTTCTCTTTTTATAATTTAAATAAAAAAAAAATTTGTTTTTCTTTGCACCGATCGTTTTGTTTTGCTGCACGAATCGGAAAACTCGCTTAACAATTTTCGATTTTAATTTAAACTGTTATAAGGTACGGCTACGTTTTTTTCATGTTAGCGCCTCCACGTTCTGAGCAACACTAATTCGAGTTTTGAAGCTCCGCAATACACATTACTGAGCTCGCTTTCATTGCTGCGTCTCGTTTCGTCTGTATGTACAGTTGTACATTTGTTTTGTATGTGCAATATTGCTACATATTTAATGGTGCTGTCAAATTTTAGGCCCGGCCTGTCGATGGTTTTTATACCCTGAACAGAGTACAGTTTGCCACGATGTTTGTAACACCCAGCTAAGTCGATTTAGCCATATCCCTCTGTCCGTCGTATGAGATATCGATCTAAAATTTTGAACACATCCTTTTCTCCCCAAGAAGCTGCTTAGCATATAGCTGCCATAGAAACTGAACGATCAAAATCATACTTTTGTATGGGATAATTTTTTTATTTAAAAAGATATCTTCACTAGATTTGATATGAATTATTGCTCAAAGCAACGGTATAATTTGCGCATAACTAGTTCAGATCGGACTAATATAGCGTATAGCTGTCATATAAACTGATCGCTCAAAATTAAGTTCTTGTATTTTTTTTTGAATGGGCAGAGTTCTATTATAAGAAAAACGTTTCCCGTAAAATTTCATTTCAACGCGTTTGGGCATTGCATTCACAACTCACCGCATAGTTGTCACGCACTTAACTCACTCACCCCTGACAAAGGCCTATGTTAACAATATACTCATACATAACATATTTATTTGTCCACTTCTCTCTTCAGGTTTTCGATTGGTTTTATGCAAACCATTTCATTCGGCTTTGGCTGCGAAACTTTTGATTTCGCTTTAAGCCATGCTTAGGCATGCTGACATGACGCTGGTTGCCTCACTGCGAATCTTTCAAATCTTGCGCATTTTAGTAGAAAGCCATTGTGTTAATAATGATCATAAAACAAATCAAGTAGTGAGTGGCGCAAAGGAAATAAAAAACACTTAAATACAGCGCCACAAATCAAAATAGATAAATAAATCATTCGGGTTTCTACTACCACCAATATATTGTAAGTACATGACATTACTAAGCTCTATGTTGGTTGTGGCTAAGCGTTTTGATTGCAACCAATATACCTATGTTATGTTAATGTATTGCAATGTACTTAAGTAGGTATTCGTGTTATTCTAAGTGTATTTTCTTTCATTACCACTTTATAATCGGCTTTTCACTTGGCATCTCATTTTCACCCTTTCTAAGTGTTCATTACTACTTTTATTCGCTGAAATCCGGGGAATTTCGGTTTTGATTGTTGTTGATAAATTTTAAAACTTCCGTTGCTCGCACTCATTTCAACACATTTCACACTCGCATGCGAAATTTTGTTAATTTAATTGTCTGGGAAATGTAAAAATGCATATGTATGCATGTATGTATGTGTATACACAATCTAAGGTATTTACGATATTTATGTGAGTTGAAGTTTGTATTTGCATGTAGGTAATTGCTTCGACACTTAAAAGAAACGCATCAAGAACTTTGGCAGTGAAGGAAGTTTTTAACTACTTATAGTAACCGGTTTCTTTGTCACAGACACCACTATTCGCAACACTAGCAAAGCTCAATAAGAATTCGTCGCCACAATATACGTACAGATACATATATGTACAATTCTGTTAATATAAATGGCAGTGCGAGTTAAGATAGGCTTTAATACTAAAAACTGAACTGTTTGCATTAGCAATTTCAACCAAAAATATATTTATACTCTGAACAGGTTATATTAAGTTTGCCACCAAGTTTGTAACACCCATAATAAAACGTGGGAGACTCTATAAAATGATAAGCATGACAAGCTGAGTCGATTTAGCCATGTTCGTCTTTCTGTGTATAAGCGAACTAGTCCCTCAGTTTTTGAGATATCGATCTAAAATTTTACACCCGCCCTTTTCTCTCCACTATAGCATATAGCTGTCATATTTGACGAAAAACTTTTCGAAATTTGGAAGGGGTTATTGCATAAGGCAATGGTATGAGATGAGCTTTTTTTATGAAAATGAAATACTAATTTTGAATGGGAAAGTAAAAAAAATGTATTTAAAGTATTCACATACTATACATTTTGATCACCTTTCTGGCAATTTGTGGATACCATATTCCAATTAAAGTGTTCGTCTTTTGAAGCAAATCAATCAGACACCCAATTTTCGACTCCTGCGTAGGAATCGAAGTGCTGCTCAGACAACAGATGTCCCATCAATGAAAACAAATGGTAATCGAAGGAGCCAAGTCTGGTGAATACGGCGGGAGCACTTTGATTGCATCCTGAACCGATTTTATTTTGTGTACTTTGCCGAGTCTTCTGGCCCATTCTGGTCGTATTTCTGTCAATGTATTGTTTAAATCGATCATTTGTTGTCTGTAGCGATAGGTATTAATAGTTTCACCAGGTTTTAGAAGCTCGTGACATATCACACCCTTCTGGACCAAATACAGAGCATTGCCTTCTTACCGAGTTGATCTGTTTTTGCAGTCGATGTTAATTAATGCTTTCCGCAAATCATTACTTCCGGTACAAAATTTGACATTTTTAACACAATGAAAAAATATGATGTTGTTTGTTCAATGACTGTAAGGTTATTGAATATGTTTGACAGATGTCATGCAAACTAAACAGAAAAAAAATTAAGGCTCGTTCAAAACGAATGTTCCCTATCAACACATTTGTATCTTAATGCTCACTTCATACCGGTACATAATCTCCGAAGAAATTGTACAGATCGGATCACTATAGCATATAGCTGCCATACAAACCGAACGATCGGAATCAAATTCTTGTTAGGAATCGTTTTTATATAGGAAGCGTATTATAGCATATAGATTGGTGCAACCGAAGTTTACGTTTTTTCGTGTTTTAATTTAATATAATAGTAAAAAAAATGTGTATTAATTTTAGTTTAAACCCTAGATGTAAGTCTATTTACGAGCATACTTCACATTTTTTAAGTTGCTCATAAAAATGGCAGTGTCTTCTTTAACTATAAGTTGAGTGAAAATAAATATATTTTATATTTCAAGTCTAAAGCGTATCATTACTGCGAAGAAAATGCAATTATTAAGTTAATGTAACACATAATGGATGGTTCTAAGCCATACACCAAAGGATAAATTTAAATAAAAAACATAAATTTAAAAAAAAATTTCAAATAATTAAGAAAATATGAAAGGTTGTACAAAAAGCAAGCAAGAACGTTAATGCATGTCGAATGCACCGAAGCTATAATACCCTTCACAGGTACATTTCTCATAGCAACTATATGCATAACTAAATCTCAAAACGTAAACGGCCAATAGTTTGCAACCAAAGGAAATCGTTTTGCTAGTTCTCTGTAGTCACGTTTTTTTATATACATAAATAATGTTCAAGTCGAATAAAGATAACTTATTAAGGAAAAAATATATTTTATCAAAATCGTTATCTTAATTTGGATCGGTTCGTTTGAATGGCAACTATATGATTTAGGGGTTCGATCTGAACAATAATCCTTGCCAAATTTCGTGAAGATATATTGTCAAATAAAAAACTTGAATTTGATCGGTCAGTTGGTATGGCAGCTCCATGATGTTCATATATGTATGTACTTTATTCTCTTACTTTTCCTACTGGGTGTTAGAAACTTCGTGACAAACTTAATATATCCTGTTTAGTGTATAATAATTGGTATGTTTCTTAAATTTGATAAACAAACCAGAAACATCTGGCCTCAAAGGCTTTACAGGCGATTAAACTGATTGAAAAATTATTGAATTTTTTAGAATGCACTCAATTATTAGGTCTCAGGAGAGAAAGTTGAGGACGAGTTCAGTTATAATATGAAGGCGTGGCTATCAGAAGACATCTTTTAGATCCCAATCGAAAAGTCAGCAGCCACAAAATTTGCCACCTTTAACTATTTGACAGTAGAAAAACAAATTTGCCACATAGAGCGGTCCTAGTCAAAATGGTGAAATATTTCATGGATGGATGATGATAAAGTGGAATTAAAACACTCTAATCCGCAAAATTGCTCTAATATGCCTCAGTATACTGTTTTCACCGAGAAGGACGCAGGACCTTATATAATAAATTGGCGCACTGGCTTATACCATATATAATATTAAATTAATGGATTAGGTTACAGAGGAAGAAATGCCGCTAAAAAAGGGATTTTCAAGAAGACATGTGAATCGAAACATACCATTAGGTTTGTGAAGGATTTCTATAGACACAACAATATTAATTTTAATAAATATTAGTTAAATTATGGTTTTATATTAAATTGATCGATTAATATGACGCTTGTTTTGTTGTTTCACTGCTATTTTCTTCTTTTATGAATACACATTCCGACCCACTTTTGAAATCTATTCAATTTATCAAAAGAACATAATCTTATAATTGGTAAGTATTTGTTTAGATCGTAGCTTTTGAAAACCAGTTTAATTAAAATTGAACTCCATTTATTTATGAAAATCCATTACTTTTTCTCAGTCCTCACTGAGCACTACTATTATTATGAACACAATTGTACGTGAAACCAGGAGACGGTTGTGCAAAATCATGCCGTAGATTTCATTAAGAATTTGAAGTGTCATAAATTATTAGAATATGCAAAAATAATCCACTCAAACACAGCTGTAATATTGTAAATCATTCCATAATTTTATTTTTCTTCTAAACACTTTTGCACTTGAGAAAAAAATTAATACACTTGCAATTATAATATATGGTAAGCATGTACATATGTCTGCTTGTGCTACATTACGAGTATTCCAGTCCATTCTGTCGTAGATTTCCCAATTGGAATTTAATTGTAATGGGATCGGCCATTGCTTTCGCTTATTTTAAATACTTTTCAATTAGTTTAATTCAATTTCCGTACATTTTTACCCGCTTCACCACTGTCTCATTCAACGGTTGCATTATATTCCATATCCGGTTGTGCGCTTTTGCATTTTACTTTTATATAAAGCGAATTTATTTATTTTAATTTTTTGTTACCTTTTGTATAACCTCCTGTACTCGAACAAATTATGATGGCATTAAGCGTAGTTACTGCCACTTATGATGCGATTACGCACTCCGGTGCGCACATCTACGCACATAACTACTTATACATATATGTACATACTACGAGCAAACCCATTGAGGACATTGAGTATTTCTTCAAGAAGTGCTCGCATTGATTTTAAAATACACACACTTACCACTGATCTATCAAAATAATCAGCAAAATCTTGCTGAATAATTGATATTGATCTTGCAGATCATGGTTACTGACGTTGACATTCAAACTGCTGTATGTCAATGTTGTTGGTGCGGTACTCCAAATGCAAGTGCCAGACAAATATGTATGATTAACTGTTAGAGGTAATATAATGGGTATTTCGAAATACGTATTTATTTGTACAAAATCATACAATGTAATCACTTCAGTCAATGTACTACATTGTATATGTGTAGTCGAGAAACATTTGCCTAAATATTTGTTATTTGTTGTATCTGCTTGTCTTTTATAAATGAACTTGCAAATTTATTTATACTTGTAGGCTTACAGGCTAAAATTATTCGGAAACACGAGACGAATTGGTAATTGTAAGTTCGAGTACATTAGTGTGACAGTTGGTCAGTATTGCTTTTTGAAAACTAAAATTAATATAAAAAGAACACACGAAGTTAATCAAAAACAATTTTTTATGAAAAAAAAACTGGTGTTAAAATTCAAAAGTAGCTTTATGAGTATTATTTAGACTCTTCACCAGGCAAACCAGCCATTATGAAGTTAGCGGACGAAAAATTTAAACAAATTATTTCGAATAACCGCAAAATGAAGTTGAGATAGCTGACTTTTTAAAAATATCAAAGGAAGAACGTTGGACATATCGTTGATGAAAATTTGGGTATGCGAAAGCTATGTGGAAGTCATGTAAACTCACAATCGAGCAAAAATAACAACGAAGGGATAATTCCGAGTAGAGTTAAGAGCTAATTAATCGTAATAAACGTAACGAGATGTGAGAATGGATAAACCGAAAGTGTGGAAAAATAGCACCGTCGGCTGCCACAGTTATGGCGATATTTGAACAAAATTTCATTGACTTTCTTTCAAAAGGAAAAAACGTCAAGAACAACTATTGGATAGTGTTATGAGAATGTTTTAATGATAAAATCGGGAAAAACGTATCTATTTATAGATAAAGCAAGCACTGTTTCATTGTCAAAAAATTGCATAATTTGGGCATCAAAGCAATATCGAAAAAGTGTACTGCAAAATTGGCATTGAAAAGTTGGAAGATCGTTATAATAGGTGTATAGTTCTCCATGGCACCTACGAATCAAATTTGGCTTGGCCGAAACACTTGTTTTTCTTCACAACTTAACAAAATTTTCCCTCATTACGAATCCGAATCCCATTTTTCATAGTAAGGGGTGTTTGTTTTATCAGAGGCGCAATTAATTGGTATTTTATTGATACTGTGGGTTTAAGATTGACAGGTTATCAACCTATCCGATTCTGATGTCGAGGTGTCGATGGCAGCCTCCAAGCCTGCTGCCAATAAATGGCCTATTTTTTGGAACCGCATTTACTCGATGCAGATGATAAGGGTATTAGGCCCTTTGCTCCCCCGCGAAGCAATCGGATACAATGTTCATATGTATATATTTTATAATTGTACATCCAAAAAGTTTTCCTTGCTGTATATTAAATTATTGTTCTAATAATATTAAATTATTGTTCTAATAAGGTATTGACTTTTGTGGAATATTTTTCCTTGCATACATTCATACCACGTGTGTATGTGTTGGTGCAACCAATTAATTGCGGATCTAAACCTTTACGACGCTTTGATTTTTATTACAGATTTGTTTAATGTATGAGACACTACTTAATGGATTACATGCATACCAGGTACACACATGCATACATATAAATGTGGGACTTTTTTAGAATTTATAGCCTATGCTAAACGTATTTATGTGATTTTACTTTGTTGCTTTTAAATTTCTATATGTACTAGATTTAAAGTGCTCACTAAAGTGTATGGATTTCTATTACTTTAAACTTGTATTTAAATACTGGTCAATAGTATTCACTTTATGTTGTTGTTGTAGAGACTTTCTGTAATATAATTTATACGATTTTTGTTGGAACACAAAACTCCTTTCTATTCTTTCAGGTTTTTCTTCCTATGGGAATTTTTTTCAATACTATAAACAAGTCAAGCAATGCTAAGTTCGACTTCAACCGAACCATTATATACTCTCATAACTTCTGAGAATTTAATATATTTTTCCAGCTGCCAGCCATAATATTGCTATAAAAATATTTTCCAGGTTTTATTTTCATATCTTCATTAATGCTTCAGTTATATATTCTTAATTTAAAAAAAACTGACGAAAATTAAATTGATATTGGACGAGAAGAAGGACGGTAGAGTTTATTTATTTTATGACCTAAACTGATCGAGATAGTTATAGGCTATAAGTATATAAATGATCAGAATGACGAGGCGTGTTGAAATCTGGGTGAGTGTCTGTCCATCCGTTTATCTGTGCAAGCAGTAAATATTAGTGATTAAACTTGAAACACGTGTTCTTTAGCAAAAAAGTGGGGACGAGTTCGTAGATGGGCGTAATCGCACCACTGCCACGCCTACAAAACTACTTCCACTCTATACGAGGGTTTTGTTAAAAAACTACTAAAAGTGCGATAACTAAATGCGTCAGAGGCATTGAATTGTTCATCAAAGATAGACAAGGTGGGCTTTATAGGAACAGGTGTAAAAATTGGTCGGTGGGCGTGGCACCGCCCACCTTTAGGTAAAATCACATATCTCTGCACCGACTTGATCAATCTCAACCAAATTTGGTACGTACGATTATTTTGACATTTCCATCTCACAGTACGAAAATGGACGAATAAGCCGGATAAGCTTTGCACGAATAGTGCCTTTAAGGTATGCCATCTTAGCTCTAATAATTATCAAAATCTGACCATAATTGTTCAAGCCCCCGAAACCGGAAATTCGGAGATAATCCTTTCCTGATAATATAATAGTAAGACTGTATGTCAAAAATGTGTTGAATCGGATCAATAATGGAAAGATTTTCGAGCTTCCGGCTGGCTTTATACCCCACATATCGGCCAAAAAGTGAGTTATATTGATTAAATTGAGTGAGTGCATCACTGTGCCTAAAATGGATAACATCGGGTGAAAATCTGCCCTAGCTCTCATATAACTCAGGATTTTCAAACACCGGGTTGACTTCACTCCTTATATATTGTTGGTGGTATGTGAGATACCTTAATAAAACTCAGGGAGAATCTTTTTCTGTTAATAATACCAAAAATAGATAGAATCGGGACAATAGTTCACCTATCTCCCACACAGCTAATAACAGATTTTCAAACTTCCGATTGGCTTTATACCATATATGGTCAATATGTAAGATATCTTAGCAAACTTTCCTGAACCTGAACGTACAATATTGGATATACATTAGTTTAATGCCGAAAATATGTGAAATTTTATTATACTACATATAATAATTTCCGTTATTCTAACAAACCTTATTATATTAATGGTTTAGCGCTGAATATGATTGAAGTTGGTCTAGACCTTGGTCTTAATCTCATATCCCCAATACCATCAATTACGATCTTTTGATTGACGTTTTGCATATCAACTCAATATATTAAATGTAGTCTCATCGGTTAAGTTTATGTCAGATATATCTCATTTGAGGATAATTTTAGTGTAATTTTCGCTGACGGGAAGTAAAATATAGTTGTAAAACTAATTGAGTCTATGACCTAATATAATTTAAAAAAATATCAAATTTGATCATAATTCATTTACTATTTCGTCGAAAAATAAATTTTGAATTCTTTCGCAACATTTTTTTGACACCTGAAGGCTTTGATCCTGGCAAGTTGCGAGAGCATGAAATGTTCGGCTACACCCGAACTTAGACTTTCCTTACTTGTTTCGATTAATGACGTCTTCAGGGTGTGACAATTCTGATTCAACCCACTGAGGCTGTTTTTATTCAAATTATTACGGTCGGATCGAGTGAGAGGCAGACATCCGGTAAACAAATATTCTCTACATCTTGTCAGTTTTGACATGTGTCTAAATTTGTTTTAGTTATTACAATAAATTGGGTTAATAAAACTATTATACTCTGAGTTCTCATTCCCACGTCAGCTGGCCAATTTAATCGAAACGGAGCGGGATTTTAACCGACCGAACTTTGTCAAACTACTCCATTCCTTGACAAATTTTCATTCAGATCTGAGACATTCGAATTATAATAAAAAATCAAATGCTTTACCTCTCCAAAAGCTTTATGCTTAAGTTAACTCTCACACTTTTTTTAACCAAATATCTTCTTTTGAAACGTTGTCGTTATTTCTTGATTATTTGCTATAGAATAGTAAAGCAGATATATTAACGCCGATATTATATAATTTTTAAGTATGATATAATAATCTGACATTCTTTGTTTTGACGAATAATATTGCAGTTCGACACTTATCTTAAGATTATAAACTTATTTAATTAGTTAATTTACTTAATACATAAGTACAATAAAACAAACAGACGAGATTTGCGCCCAAATTATACAAAATATATTACAAAATTTAGTCGTCGGATAATTGTTTTAATTTTCATTTTTTTCGTAAATATTTGTGAATTACTATTAGCACTCACACTAATACATGCATACATATTTACGAGTATGTCTATTGTTTGCCTCGCTCTCGCATTTTCAAATAACTTACATTGACGGAAGGTGCCGACTCAGGTTTCGTCTTAACCTAGGCTCTGCCATTGCAAACTAGTTGTCGTTTTAACTACAGTTTAAGACACTCGCAAATCTTCTATTTTACCACCATTGAAACGTCTAAGCCTTTTTCGTTTAATAAGCATACTAAATAACAAAAATTTCAGTAAACCGATTTCGAGTGCTTTAAGAAATTATTTCTATATTCATACACATACTTTTTCATTGTACAATTCTATGAATACACAAGTGGATATATGCGGATCTTTAACACATTTTATTTGTTTGTTATATTTATGTATAGATAGTTGTTATATGCGTAACAGCAGGCTTATATTTCAGTTTTTGTGTAAAATAAAGGCGCTCCATCAAATGCGCCTGGTTGGCAGTTTATAATGCCGTCATCAGATGCTATGATTTTAAATTAGTTCAAATACGTTAATTAGCTGTGTCAGCAAACAACAGTTGAACGGTTGCCCACCTTTACATTTACAAGCATGCGTTCCATCTCTAGCCATAAAATAGCAAAAATAATATTATAACTCTATATGTATGTAGTTATGCAGAGAAATTTGATCCAATATTTTTCGCAAAATTTGAGCGGTAGATTTTAAATAGTTTCTGTGCACCTTGGTGTGCTTTTCATATCATAAAAAGAACTGAATTATTTGCCACTCTTTAATTTTAACATCAGAGTTGCGAATTTTTTAATTAAAAAATTTTGGATCAAAACTTTAATTGGATTGGATTTAAAATTAAATTTTCAATTTCTAATTCCGTTATTCGGATCGGATGTGTTAATCCAATATTTTGTTAGTATTAATGATTTAAAAGTTAAAATTTAATCCAGAATTGGATGAATTAATCCCAAAAATGAAATCTTTTTTAAATTTCCAACTATTTGCTTGGGATTATATATTTTTCAATCCTGTATTTGAGATAAAAATTAAAAATAAATTTTATATCCAGTTTTTGGGTAAAGTCCCGTATTTGGGATTAATTTTTTTTTAATCCGGTATTTGGAATTAAAAATTCATAAACAATTTTTAATTAATATTTTCGGGACTACAAAAAAAATTTAATTCAAACGTTAATTCAATTTTTTATTTAATGCATTATTTGCAACCTGTGAGGTGATTTCAATCCCGGATTCCCCTGGCTTGAGCGGTAAAAGAAGAAAACACCATGTACAAATCTTAAATGATATAATTACTACACAACAACATCCAGCAATTACATTTAATTTTCTTCAAGTGTGGCATTATTTTGTTTTAGGTTTTTTGTAACAACGCGTGGGGCGTTCTTTAAGTTCCTCAGATAATATTTTTCTTTTGTAAATATTGTATGTATTATATATATTGTGCTTGTTGTTTTAACGGAATATCTAAAGATATTATATATCTTTTCGAATAATTGACCTATGACTCCTCCTCAGATACTATGGACGTATTGCTCAATGGTTGACCATACAAATAAATAATGTGTTCGTTGGTGGCAATTGTATTACCTCCAAATACTTCCTCCATCAAATCAGCAAATGGTCCACTGACACGAAATTTATTGCCGATGCTCTGCTTGTAAGTTCTGGCTAAATTTTTAAATTTTGTTTTGAGCATATGCACAGTTGTAGGTTGTCTCTGTAATGAAACCAAATAACAAATAAAGTTTAGAGTAGTAGATAACTGTTAGGACGTAAATAGTATACATATTTCAAAATTACCAAAACTCCTTGGCTCTCTAAGTCAAGTAACACATTCTGCATTGCAAACTTCTTTTTACGCACATGCAGAAACTCATCCTTTCTAGAAATATATGCACATAAGAATGCTTTGGTCTCACCAATGGTCCAAATTCGCCTGTCATTAAAAATTTGTTTATCTAGTAAATGTTTCTCTTCTGATTCTACCGCCAGGTGGAAATTCGTTTGGCCAATTTTATTTAATGAGGTCGGATTGTATGGTGGTTGCCCATACATAACGGAGTTGCTTTTTGATTTACTTTTATTGTTCGAAAATATTTCATCCATCAAATCCGTAAATGGAGCTATACAGGGAGCGGCTCTCCGTTTGGTGTTGTTGATTACCTGCTTATACGCTTTAAGCAAGTTTCTAAATTTAGTTGAGAGCATGTCCACCGTTGTGGTCTGGCTCTGTAATACAAAAAATAGGAATAGAACTGTTACGAAGTATCTGATAGATATTTTCAAATAAATAAGTAGTCAATACTTACCAAAATACCTTGACTCTCCAAATCAGACAAAACATTCTGCATAGCAAATTTCTTTTACGAACATTCGAACATCCTCCTCTTCTAGAAATATAAGCATTCAAAAATGCTTTGGTCTCTTCGTTAGTCCATATTCTCTTGTCAACAAAAGTTTCTTTGTGTAGAATGCTTTATCTATTATATTTCTAGTTGTTCTGATTTTTCTACAATATTTGCTGTTCATTGGATATGTGTGATTATGGCAGGTACTTGGGTAATCTTTACAAATTTCCTTCATCAAACTGCCATACGGAGCTATCACAGGAGTATTCGTTCGTCTGCTATATTCGATAGCTCGCTCGTGTGCTCTGACCAAGTTTTTCAATTTTGTTGAGAGCATGTCCACCGTTGTGGTCTGACTCTGCATTGGAACAAATTAGCAAATTAGGAAGACTACAACGTGCTCGACCCAAATAAATATTTAAAACTTACCAAAACCCCTTTCTTTCAAGTCATGTAGTACATTGCGCATAGCAAACTTCTTTTTCCTACTTTCCTAAATTCATTCTTTCTAGAAATATATGTCCTCAAAAATGTCTGGTCTCCCTCCTAGTCCAAATTCTCTTGTCATAACACTTTTGCGTTTTGTCTGGGGATTTATCTCTTGACTCATCGGTGGCTGAGGTTGTTGGGATAATGGTATAGAACATGTTCCAATATTTTGGGAAGGATGACAAGTTATCTTTCCTTGTCCGTTTCCGTGTACATCCCGATTGTACAGGGTGGACTGTCGCGGAAATTTCTTATGGTCTGTTTCTACATTTGTACACCAGTTGGGCAATAACTGCTCCTCGGATAATGTGGGCGTATTGCTTAACGATTGTCATATAAATTGAGGTAATGTTTTTGAAATACTTGGGTTATCTGCAAAAATTTTCTTCATCCAATTTGCATACGGAGTTTTACAGGAAGAATTTGTTTGACTGTTATTGTCGATGCCTTGCTTGTATGCTCTGATCAAATTTTTCAATTTCGTTGAGAGCATATTTACCGTTGTAGGCTGCCTCTGCAATGAAACCAAATGACCAATTAAGTCCATACAATATAATAGATGCATATATGTTTCAATGTATATATAAAACTTACCAAAACACCTTGACTCTCTAAGTCATGTAGCACATTCTGCATAGCAAATTTCTTTGTATCTTTATTTCGAAATTCCTCCATTCTGAATATAAGCATTTAAAAATGCTTCGTCTCACCGACGTCCAAATTCGCCTGTTACTGAAAATTTGCTTATCTAGTAAATGTTTCTCTTCTGATTCTACCGCCAGGTGAAATTCGTTGGCCAATTTTATTTAATGAGGTCGGATTGTATGGTGGTTGCCCATACATAACGGAGTTGCTTTTGATTACTTTTATTGTTCGAAAATATTTCATCCATCAAATCCGTAAACGGAGCTATACATGGAGCGGCAGTTCTCCATTTGGTGTTGTTGATTACCTGTTATACGCTTTAACAAGTTTCTAAATTTAGTTGAGAGCATGTCCACCGTTGGTCTGGCTCTGTAATACAAAAATAGGAATAGAACTGTTACAAGTATCTGATAGATATTTCAAATAAATAAGTAGTCAAACTTACCAAATACCTTGACCTCCAAATCAGCAAAACATTCTGCATAGCAAATTCTTTTACGTACATACATTCCGAAACTCCTCCTTTCTAGAAATATAAGCTTTAAAAATGCTTTGGTCTCTTCGTTAGTCCATATTCCTTGTCAACAAAAGTTTCTTTGTTGTAGAATGCTTATCTATTATATTTCTAGTTGTTCCTGATTTTCTACAATATTTTGCTGTTCATTGATAATGTGTGATTATGGCAGGTACTTGGGTAATCTTTACAAATTTCCTTCATCAAACTGCCATACGGAGCTATCACAGGAGTATTCGTTCGTCTGCTATATTCGATAGCCCGCTGTGGGCTCTGACCAAGTTTTTCAATTTGTTGAGAGCATGTCCACCGTTGTGGTCTGACTCTGCATTGGAACAAATTAGCAAATTAGGAAGACTACAACGTGCTCTACCCAAATAAATATTTAAAACTACCAAAACCCCTTTCTTTCCAAGTCATGTAGTACATTGCGCATAGCAAACTTCTTTTTCCTACTTTCCTAAATTTCATTCTTTCTAGAAATATATGTCCTCAAAATGCTCTGGTCTCCTCCTAGTCCAAATTCTCTTGTCATAACACTTTTGCGTTTTGTCTGGGGATTTATCTCTTGACTCCATCGGTGGCTGAGGTTGTTGGGATAATGGTATAGAACATGTTCCCAATAGTTTTGGGGAAGGATGACAAGTTATCTTTCCTTGTCCGTTTCCGTGTAAATCCCGATTGTACAGGGTGGACTGTCGGGGGAATTTCCTATGGTCTGTTTCTACATTTGTACACCAGTTGGGCAATAACTGCTCCTCGGATAATGTGGGCGTATTGCTTAACGATTGCTCATACAAATTGGAGGTAATGTTTTTGGAAATACTTGGGTTATCTGCAAAAATTTCCTTCATCCAATTTGCATACGGAGTTTTACATGAAGAATTTGTTTGACTGTTATTGTCGATGCCTTGCTTGTATGCTCTGATCAAATTTTTCAATTTCGTTGAGAGTATATTTACCGTTGTAGGCTGCCTCTGCAATGAAACCAAATGACCAATATATATGTTTCAATGTATATATAAAACTTACCAAAACACCTTGACTCTCTAAGTCATGTAACACATTCTGCATAGCAAATTTCTTTTTACATTTATTTCGAAATTCCTCCTTTCTAGAAATATAAGCATTTAAAAATGCTTCGATCTCTTCGGTGGTCCATATTCTCCTGTTACTAAAAATTTGCTTTTCTCGGGAATGACTCTCTTCTGATTTTACCGCCAGATCGAAATTCGTTTGGCCAGTTTCATTTAATGAGGTCGAATTATTCGGCGGTTGCCAACACATAACGGAGCGTTTTTTTGGTATACTTGTATTATTCGAAAATATTTCATCCATCAAGTCCGTAAACGGAGCTATACATGGAGCGACAGCTCTCCGTTTGGTATTGTTGATTACCTGCTTATATGCTTTTACCAAGTTTCTAAATTTTGTTAAGAGCATGTCCACCGTTGTGGTCTGGCTCTGTAATACAAAAAATAGGAGTAGAGCTGTTACAAAGTATCTGATAGCTATTTTCAAATAAATAAGTAGTCAAAACTTACCAAAACACCTTGACTCTCCAAATCAGACAAAACATTCTGCATAGCAAATTTCTTTTTACGTACATTCCGAAACTCCTCCTTTCTAGAAATATAAGCATTCAAAAATGCTCTGGTCTCCGTCCTAGTCCAAGTTCTTCTGTCAATAAAAATTTCTTTTTCGCAAGATTTTCTACTTTTTCGAACATGCGTCGACTTAAATGTCATTTGGCTAGATTCTGTGAATATATTGAAGCTATGGAACCTGGCCGCCTGTTGGTTTCAAAACTCTTTTGGTATGCTCTGACCAAATGTTTTATTTTCATCTAGAGCGTATTTGCCGCTGTAGGCGGTTACTGCAATCAAATCAAATAGAAAATGTAGTATGTTATTTGAATACATATTGATCTCATGAAGTAAACAATTATTTAAAACATACCAAATCAGCTAGACTCGCCAAATATGACAGAATGTTTTGCACCGCAAATTTCTTTCTAGAAGTTACGAAATTTGTCCTTTTTAGTAATATACATTTGTATGCTTTCAAAAATGCTCTGTTTTCCTCACTTGTTTAAATTCTTCTATCAGTTAAGAATTATTTATTGTTTAATCATTTAGCATTAATGCTTAATTATCTTAACGTTATGTATTTTTTCTTAATTTTGTCTTCCCGTACATTCACCGTAAACAAAGTAGCCCAACATATGTTTTAATAAAACTCTGTTAACATAGGAATCTTTTGTTGCTCACTATCGGCAACTTCTCATTTAGTGTTACCGCACATGCTAACAGATAATTTTTGATTACCTGCAGTAGTTTAACGAGATAGCAAATAGTAAGTGTTTTTAAATATTTTTACTTTCTATTGCATAAAAGCAGTTATAGGCAATCGAAAATTAATTTTGCATTGGCGTGACAGTTTAACTAAATAACAATTTTTTGACATTACTTTAAGTTATGTTTTAGTTACAGTATTTTCGGAAACACGCAATATGAAATGGCAACTCTCATTTAATAAAAATGACAGCAAACAATTTCACGTGCCAGTTGATTACCCTCGCAGCGAAACGCGCTTGGAATCAAGGTAAATAAAATATATAATAAATATTGATTTTTAAATAACTAAATAAACGTATGTATATATTATACAGTTTTTCAGTATCGTGTTCAAAGAACTCCATTAGACATTTTCTTTAGAATGAGTTCTGACTGTGAATCACCTAAGCGCCCTCGTAACGATGTTCCTGTAATTGGCACTCACAGTGGAACATTTCATTGCGATGAAGTGGTGGCGTGTTTTATGCTTAAACAACTGCCAGAATACAAGAACGCTAACATTTTTAGGAGCCGAGATGCACAATTGTTGCGTGAAAAATGTGATATAATTGTTGATGTTGGAGCCGAATTCAATCATCGACAAAAATGGTATGATCATCATCAAAAAAGTTTTACGGAAACACTTAGTTCCCTGCGTCCCGAACTTGGGGACGAGTTCAAGATTAGGTAATTTATTGCGTCAAGTTTTCAAATTCCAAAACATTAAAAAAATATTTTTTGTTTTAGGCTCAGTAGTGCTGGTCTTATTTATGCTCATTATGGCGAACGGGTAATAGAATGTATTTTAAGAGAATATGGTAAGACTCCATTATCCGACGAAAATTTAAAATTGAGTTTCATTCAAATATATCGTAATTTTATCAGCGAAATAGACGCTATTGATAACGGAATTCCCATGTACGAAAATGTTGTTGAACCACTGTATAAAATATCAACACACCTTGCTTCCCGCGTGAATAGATTAAATCCCTCTTGGGAAGACGAACAGGGTAGTGCAATTGAACAAAAACGTTTTGAACTTGCTCTAGAATTGGTTGGCAAAGAGTTTGTAGAAAATGTTTTAAATATGGCCAGCTCTTGGGTAAAGGCACGAGAATATGTTCGGAAAGCATTAGAGCACGCTGAATCAATTTATAAGACTGGTGAAATTTTGATACTAGAACGTTTCTGTCCTTGGAAAGAACATTTATCTGATCTCGAGAAGGAATATAAGGTTGTGGGTATTCCTAAACTAGTAATATTTTCAGAAAATGAACAAAGCTGGCGAGTTGCTGGCGTACCTGTCTCTCCTAGCAGCTTTTTGGGTCGAAAATTTTTACCAAAACCTTGGCGAGGCTTACGAGATAAAGAGCTTTCAACGGAAGCGAATATATCGGACTTAATTTTTGTACACTCAACAGGATTTATAGGTGGGGCAAAAACAAAAGAAGCTGCGCTAGCAATGGCTATAAAAAGTGTACAATGGAAAGATGATTAATTCATACATATATAAATTATAAACTGTATTGTTTTAAAAATATTAAAAGCCATTTGAAATCATGCGAAGTGGCTAATAAATTTTAAAATGATTTACAGTTTTCATTGAATTTAGTCGAGTACTACCCAATAATCATAAGGACCGTCAACTCGGTCATGTTATATAATTTGGGGGAAGTTTTCTGCCGCTGCCACAACAACTACATTTAAATGTCTATAAAATTATGTTTGATAAATCGCCAAAAAAGCAAAATATATTAAATGTACTCATTAAAAACGAATAAAGCATTTGATTTTTTTATGGGAGAATTTTAACTAAACGTCATATACTTGTACAAATATATATTCAAAAAGTTCTTATTTTTGTTTTAATTTCAAAAACATTTTATTTCATAAAAATGTAAACATATTTCTAATCCATACGTGTTTTAATTTGTTTTTTAGTAATTTTATCCTTTTCAATAATATAAACAGTCGCACCCCAGCCGCTAATAGCGTCACGATCAAATGCGCTAACTATAGCCTGGGATATCACCTCTGATAATTCTGCCGGCTCTAGATCTTCCTTCCATAATGTTTCACACATACCATAGAGTTGTTCCGAACAAGTACCAGCAACTACGAAATCATCTGGCTTATTTGGACATCCAATAAGGTCCATGTTACATATAAATGGTTCCAAAGTTTTGGGATGTAAGCCGGCAATTACTGGTTCGATGAAGTATGGTCCGAATCGATGTTCATATAAGAAATTAGATATCATAGCAGAAAACGGTTCCGGTGTCATCTCCCGATTTTCTCGATCTTCATATAATTTTTTGCGAAACATGATCCGATCATGCACAGTTAGTATATCTGTTTGCAAGCCAACAAGTCCCAGGAATGTGCGGGGATTGATTTGGAAAACTTTTTCAAAGTCTGTGCTAATTGTTTGAGCTTGTATACCAAACCGATGGTCAGTTGCAATAGCTACACAATTCTTCCCGCGCATAGCGACGAGACACCCACCGTTATAAGCCATAATCGACATTTTGCAGTGCTATTTTCTCAAGCTGATCCAAATAAATTTAAATTAAATTATATCCCAAGGTAGAAAATGAAATATTCTTCAATGACCAACACAAAACCAGCTAAACTGAGCTAAACACCAAGATGACTTTTTATTTCTATGTGACAGCCTCGACTCATCAGAATAAAGTGAGGTTAAAATAAGGAGGTGCCACATTCAACAAATTTATATTATTAAAACGATTTAATTTAATTAATGGTCAAAACAGTTTGACTAAAATATACCTAAAGGAAGGAACTTGGAATATTTTTATTAAATATTTGAATAATAATCAATAGTTAAGTTTCTTAAAAATTGTTTCGGTAAAAGGTCAGTAAGCAGTGACTTTGACGTTTAATAATTTACGAACACTTCCTAAGTGGAACTCAATGGGATCATTTTAGCAGAACTTCCATTCAGCTTTATAACATAAAAGTCTTAAATTAAGAATATATATCAATCGTTACAAGTTGGGCATCGAAAAAACATTACAATTACATTACGTGAAACCTCATATGTAATATTTTAAACAATTTATAAATCAAGATTTAGTATGGAAAAAAGGAAAAATCGGTAAATTTCAACACACAAAAACAACAAAATCATTCGACTTATTGGACAACGGTTGTCTGACGTCTTGAAGTTAGTGGAACTTAAAAGTGAGCACATTGAATACAATACCGTAAGAAAATAAGCAAGGTCCCAATAAATAGCTTAGTTGAAAGGGAAACAAAAAATTAGATTTCCAAACATTTAAATTAAAAAAGTAAAAATTAATAGCAACAAAAAATCAACTTCATCTTCCATACCAACGGACAATACTACGGGCGGCTCAGAAGAAAACGTCTTATCTACTTCAATTGTATTGGCTGAAACATCAAACGAAACCAGAATGGCCGAAGCTGTGATTGATGAACGTGCGCCACTACCGACTCGATTCTATTGTCATGTGTGTAGTATGGAAGTAAACATTCCAAATACAGATTTCACCTGCCCTCATTGCTCTGGTGGATTTGTGGAGGAGCTACCATCGGTACCGATAACTGCTAGTGGCAGCAGCAGTACATCAAGCTTTGCTGATGGACCCAGCAATAGTAGTTCTGATGCACTTGGCTTAAATCGTTTGGTTGATTTAGATGCAATACGGGGGGAAATAGAAACACTTTTAATGTCCCGCAACGGTCCCATAGAAATTGCCATTGGGCCGGCAAATAGACGCAGTAGCATGCTGTTGGGAAGTGGGGGAGGTGCTAGCAGTTCAGGGAATAATAGCGGAGCAAGCGGTGGTCCTGGGGGAGGTCGAGTACATCCACCCAATCTCGGAAGTTTAGACACTGTGCTTCTTGATGTTTTACAATCTCTCTCCGGAGGTGATGATGGTTACTTTGGAGCTACACCAATGTTTTTTATGGGAAATCCTGGAGACTATGCTTGGGGTCGTGAAGGTATTGATACAATTGTTACTCAACTACTAAATCAAATGGAAACATCTGGTCCACCACCTTTGCCAAAAGAAAAAATAGATGAAATTCCCAAAGTACATGTAACCTCCGAGGATGTGGAACGCAAAACACAGTGCTCAGTTTGCTGGGAAGATTTTCGCTTAAATGAAATAGTGCGAAGGCTGCCATGCTTGCACATATATCACGAAAATTGCATTGTGCCGTGGTTGGACCTACACGGTACATGTCCAATATGTCGAAAATCTTTAAGCGATGAAGAAAATATAAATGAAGTTGTTTTGGCAAACACCGATGTTGGTATTATGGACAGCAGTATGACAGAAGTACCACAGTCAGACGACACAGTTATGGAGAGTGACGTCTTAAATGTTGAACCTCATAGTAGCGACAATAGTGATCCACAACCAACAAACTCTATTACCGGCAGTGATGCTAGTCAAACTGGAAACCAGCAGCAACAAGACAATGTGTTTGGATTTGATGATAGCGTTGTCGATTTAGATTAAACATTTCATCTGCGCTGCTTTCAAATTCCTAATGTATGGCTTTTATAATAAATATGTGTCTGAGTTACAGCAAAAGAAGTAGCTATGATTGCTAACAAATATTATACACACCTTAAACAAATTATACATTCTTGCGATAATAACTCCAAATGCCAGCATCTGTACGGAATAAATAAAATGTTAAGAAACCTTAGAGCAGAGTGACACAAGCATTAGTTAATGCTAACTGACCTTTTTATATGTATGTAGTGATGAAAATAGATTAAATAAATAACTTGGGAGAAAATGTATGCAGACAAAATAAAATAAAAGATTAAATGTTTTGTTGAAGAGGTAGAAAATATACAAATTATCGGAACAAACTTGAAATATGCATGCATTCGGAGTATCAACAAAAATTGTTAATTTTAAATTATTTCGTTTTCGGTTGTAATAAGCCTTTTGATAAAATTAAAAAGGCACACATATATAAGCACGTCGATTAAATTCTCTTATGAAGTTAGGTAAACGAAAAGCTTGATAAACGCAAACAAATTTTGAATAAATTGAGGATTAAAATAATAGTGATAGTAATGATGTTGGTAGCGTTGACATACTTTGCAATGTATTACCGGAGTTACATATTTACTAATTGCAAATACATTTATTAATATTGTATAAAATAGATTTTAAGTGCATCGACAGAGCAATTATTGTAATGAAATTCATTATGCTAAAGATTTCGTAAAACGAGAATATTAACAATTTCGTAAAACACATCCTCAAACGAGTACATACTATTAAACTAACAACTACATTTTTTAGCTGATTTCATAGGACACATAAATAAAAGCGATTAAAATATTTATCTAGATTGTACTTGCTAAAAAAATAAACGTTAATAATTGTTTGCTACAGTTACTCATTATTTGTGTATTAAATTGTATGTATACGTGCAAATTGAATATTATAAATATTTATTTCATTTTTAACTAATTATTTAGGAACACATATACCTATGTATATTTATAAAAAAAAATCAGTGAAAATCAAATAAATCGTTTCGTTGTTTCTTTTTCAACTTAAATAAAAAAATGTGCGATACTAAAACGAAATATACTTAACAATATTTAAATAAAAAAGTAAATACAAATATTATTGTTGTTATTTATGGAATTTTTTAATGAATTTTTTCCCAAACTTTAACTCTGATGGAAAACCGGGCCTATGTGTTCCTAGCATTGAATTACTTAATTGAGCGAAAACTGCTCATAATACCCCTCAAATTACATAGAAGGGTACTAATCAATATTGAAATCAAATCATGTGTTTGTAAATAACACAAGAATGTCCATATAAACAACTCTTAAATATAACGCAAAAAGTTTTGGGAGAGGTCACATTTATTCTTATGTAAATCAGGAAAATTTCTTTCTCTTCGAACAAATGACTGATATTTGCATTATGTTTCAATTACCTAGACTTTACACTTTTTGCAGCGCAAAATATAAGAAATTATTAATTTTATTGCGTTACATTTTTAAAAGAAACTAAGTAGAATTCAGAAGTCCAATGATTTCTTTCTATGTATATATGTATATGTATACATATGTATGAAGTGTTCCTTTGCTGTAGTTCCTTTTTATTTCTCTTCTACTCGTTGTCAAAATAAATTCTATACGAACGTGGAAAGTAAGCAAATGCAACGAAGAAGCATTATATTTTAGAATTTAATATTAAAATGATTTGTACGGACTATTACAACGCTAATCATAATATTGGGTTCGACAGGGAAGAAGGCATTCATGATGATAATGAAGCTGAAGGATACAGCAATGACGACGAGAACACCAACTCGGAACTATTTATCCGCTTGACAGATATGGTAAATTTGCCGTTTATACTTAAAATGAATATGCATATAATATTAAAAAACTTGTAAAAAAAATTATCTAACAAGGTTCGTAAGCATTACTGTAATTATTTGGAGAAGCAACTGCTTGAAAATGTACAGGCTTGGCACGCAAACATAACTCAAAAGTGTGATGCGGTCTCTAACTCTGAGCTTCCGATTGAGAAGGCGGCCGTGGAGGAGTGCTGTCGTGTGCTGGAGGATAGGGCATTAAAGTCTTGTATGCATGCACGCCGCTACCAACGTACTATGTTAAAGATTGTAAGTTCACCACGGGAAAATTTGTATTAAATCAATATACACAACTAACTTTTTAGATAGCTGAAGTTCGCCGCAATACACAAGAAAATCGTTTAGAGGGAAAATTAAAGAGTTTTATTGATGCGAATGAAGGCAATAGGCTTTTATGCACTCATAAGCAGAAAGCGACACAAACTGACGAAAGCATGTTTTCCTTTGATTATGATCCTCAAAGTTCAACAACAGAAGCCCCGATCAATATTTCCAGTAGTCCTTGTAGTTTATCGTTGGAACAAAAAATAGAAATGTTTCAAAACCGTCTCAATCAAGAAACTGTAGCTAAAGTCGCAGCCACACATAAGATGTGCAGACCAAGGATATCGCGACGCACGCTACATAAACTTTCAAAGAACCATCACCCCACTCAGAGCAGCAATAATAAAATGTCACAAGACATAAGTTGCTGTGAGCAAATTCAAAAGAGTTTGGGCGAAGACTCAAAATTAGAATCGACTAAAGACACTTCAAAAATTATACATGTTGCAAGCTCGGCAAAGCTTAAGGAGGTGACTGAAGTAAATACATATTCCTTAACAAGCAATTGCACGCCGATATTGCAATCTCATGCTAATAGCATTGGACTAGAACAGGATGATGAAATCGCTAAGGAATTAGACCAACTATTTAGCGAGGAAAAGTCAGAGTTAGAGGAATTACTTGGTCTCAATTCGAATTCTGAATTGGATGATCCAAACGTGCGCAGTGTATTGGAAGAGATTGAAAGTGCAACGTTAGTACATGATTTAAAACAAAATTCTATTAAACATCAGCAAACTATAAATTATTCCTCAGATAAGGAAGTATCGCCAATTAACGTAGTTAATTCGCCGCAGCAACATGTGTCCTTATCATGTCATACTGAACGACCAGTTTCAAATATGCGGCACAGTTTATGGCCTTGTGAATTGTATATGCAACGGCGTCGTTTATCAGAGTCATTGAGTCGATTACTGGAAGAAGATTTTCGCTGGCATGATCTCATCAAATGGAAGTTTCAAACAGTTTTTGGTGACGATAGCGATGACGAATTTGCGACATGCAGTCCATCGATTGAACTAAACGAAGTGCTCATATGCAGTTGCATTCGTCGTATCTCGCCATGGATGGTGAAACATTTAATGAAACCGATGCGTGCTGGACTCATAGCTAATCGCTTTTTATTTAAAAAATTGGCAAAACGTTTGGCGCATTCTATAGTTTTAGAAAATCAATATCCGGGTGAGTTTTCAACTTAATTGTGTAAAAATTGAAATTTTTGTGCGGTAAACAATTTGTGTAGAAATATTGTATCCATAGATAAATTTAAAAAATATTTAAACGAATAATTTTTTTTTGAAAAAAAAAACGGTTCGTTTATATATATGTATGTATATAAAACAAATCTAATTTTCAGATGAACGTTTTATTAAACACGCAGTGGAGGAGTACTTTTGCCTGCATCAGGCTGTCGTCAGTATGGAGGACTTGGCCAGTATGCCCAGTCTAACCACAATCAATGATAATTTAAATTTTTAGAAATTTTAAATTAATAATAAATCACACAACGCCCGGAAACCAGGTCGATCACAGATAATTAATCCTTAGAATCCCTTTATATCTTGAGCTGCAATAACAATAACGTCATGAATTGTCCCTCACTATATTATTTTCTGTTAACTGAATACTGTTGAATTTTTATATACATAAATAAAGGAATTGCATAAATTCACAAAATATATTTAAATATATATAATATAATACAATATATATATTTTCGTTTAGATTTTGTAGTCACTAATTTTGACTGCACATACTGTACCTATTTGTGCAATTTTCAAGTAAGCGCTCTTTATATGACAGGTGAATTATGATTATTGAAATAAAATATAAAATTAGATATTAAGAATATTAAATATGTGTTAATTTTAAAATGTTGGACATTTTTTTAATTACAAAAAATTGTATTAGATTTCTTATTTGGAGTTGCCAAAAAGATGTGCATATCCTTAAATAGCATTCGGAAGATTATAATAAGCAACAATCTAAAGGAAAAAAAAATAAAAACCGTTAACAGCTATAAGACCCTTCACTTGAACTTAATCAACATACAAACCAACTTTCGAACGCGACCAATTTCCGACGGGTACTGGACGCCAATCACAGTGGAGCTATTAACACCTTCATTGACCACGTTCAAGTGAATGGCGTACTTGGAGTCCAAATACCACCCAGAATAGAATAAGAACTGAGTTTCGTAAACCAACATGAACGCTAGCGCTACTTTGTTCTGGGTATTGTAGCAGGTTAAACACCTACTTATCCAGAAAAGATTTTGACATACAAAACCGATCTTCAGGTAGATGGATACTCGTTACAACAACAACCCTTCACAGGTGCATTTATTATAGCATAAAAGTGTATAAAAAGATCTTTATCTTGATTTTGATAGATCAGTTTGTATGGACGCTATTTGCCATAGTTGTCCGATCTGAAACATTTCTTCGAAAATTGCATCGCTGTCTCGGGCAATAATCGGCGCCAAATTTCGTGTTTCGTCAAATAAAAATTGATCGTTCAGTTTGTTTGACTATAGTGATCCAATACCGGCAGTTTCGCCAAATGAGTAGCTTCTTTGGTAGAAAAGGACGTGTGCAAAGTTTTAGATCGATAGATCTATTCTGATACGACTGTTCGTGTATATAGACTGACGAACATGTCTAAATCGACTCAGCTCGTCACGCTGATCATTTATATGTATAGGGTCTCCCACGTTTCCTTCTGTGTGTTGCAAACTTCGAGGCAAACTTAATATACCCTATTCAGGGTAAAACAAAGGATTAACAAAGAAAGGTGTTTTAGCGTTCGAAGCACTTTTTAAGTGAAGAATAGTTTTAATTATAAAATTTGAGCTTTTTCATTTTCTTGGTTGTCTAATAACTGATTTAAGTATGCATACATACTTATGAATGTATATAAATGTATACACTATGAGACAATCTATTCGCTTTAGGCATAACAAAATAAAATAACCTTGTAATACTTTTAAATTTATTAAATCTTCTTACAATACAATCATATCATCATTTTCAGCATTTGAAACGACGTTTCATTCACAAATTCGAGAACTCATTACCAGTTTCGTAGGGACTCATTTAAACATTAGATGTGTATTAGTTGCGTTAACCACTCCCCGCAATTCAATATTTTGCTTATAATATCTACTTTCTATAGACATTGAATATTTTATCTTTTGCTCTTTGAAATAATACAATTTATATAAACCCGTTGATTTTACGCATTCGTTACGTATACATACATACATAAATGAATTTTAATTTCGCCGAATAAAAAAAAAAGCAAAAACAATAATTGTTAACTTTTCCACATTTTAGCATCCCTATTTACGCCTGCCGTTTCTTATACAGTAATGCGTATAGTCATTTCAGACGTTATTAACAAAAGCATATAACCGAAAACGACTTTAAGCAGAAATAGATTTTATATCTTATGCTTTAATAACATTAAGCTTGTGTGTGGATCCCTACAGGCAACTTTGGACAAATTACCAAAATTTATTACCAATTAACAGCTCCAAAAACAGAATAACATGAAATATCGGTCGATGATGTATATATACGAACGCGCCAAATTCAATATAAGTAGATATTTGCACGATTTTTAAAACCATGCCATATATTTCTGCCAATAAAAAATATTTCAATTACACTTATATGGATCTACAAACAAAATTAACCCTACTAGCTAATAATTTATAATTGAGAAATCACATGAAAAGTCGTAAGAACAAAGGTGAATGAAAGAAGGCATAATTCACGTATTTAAGTTCGAACTTTTTTTGCGCATGACAAAACGTCTACTTAAATAAGCTGTGCGAAAAAACAAATATCTAACTGCTATTGAAATAAATATATATAATTATATTGATATTGCAATAGAACGTATGTACATGAACGCAGGTTGCATAAATATAGAATAATTGAGAACTTGTCTACTCGCTATAAACCTTCCGAAATTTCACACTAAAATGTATTATATCAAAATCGAAGCATTTTGCATACAATTGAACCACAATAACCAATTTGAACTCTACTCTTTCTACACCTTAGACCTCACACCTCGTTTGACCTACATAATTGCGCGCGTTCATTTTACATAAACATACTTTGTCTCCATACATTCATTGAAACGTGTAGTGTATATTCAAATTGGCCATGCTACATATAATTTGGTTATTTATATTTTAATAGTGTTTCCTTTAATTTTAAATGTTCAATTTCTTTAAAATTATAATTAGTTCATTTCATTACAATAGGTGTGTTGGTTGGTTGGGTTGCCTTCTCTTTGTTTTTGTTTTTGCTTTTTATAATTATATAAATTTGAATAATTATAATATATTAAATAAACCATATTTATAATGTTTTGCTCTGCTTGTTGCGTCTGCTGCTTCATAATGTGTCCATCATATCATCCATTAGCCTTTAGCCACGTTGCATACGCTCTCAAAGCACTTTTATTTTGGTTTTAACTGCCTCCACTTGTGTTTATAGCGTTGTGTTTTTGCATTTGTCGACGGCACTGTTCGTCTCCAGTGTTCATGTGCTAAATGTGGGATTGCTGTTGTTGTTGTGATTGTTGATGTACTTTTGCTGCGGTTTTCCTAATTGATGTTTCTTTTGTTTGTGTTTATGTTGCAGTTTTATTAGTATTTGCTGTTTATGTTCATGTCATGGCTGATGAGGACGATAGCACTACCTAGAATGTTGTTGTTGGGGCTGTGATCCAGCAGCTGCTGCGCCACCGCCAACTGGTGGAGGTGGTGGACGGCCTCGTCTTTCAATGCCTCTGTCAGCTGTTTGTTTACCACCAGTACCACCAGCGCCGCCACCCACACCGCTGTTACTCGTTGATTTCTTTTTTGATGCGTAGGTTTGCTGCTGTGCTTGTTGTTGTTGCTGCTGCAGTTGTTTGTACTCGTCGGCAATATCCTCCGGAGAGGTCTGTTGCTGCTGATGTACCTGCTGGCGACCGCTACCAGGCATAGTTCCGGCGCTAACGCTGCTACTGCCACTGGTATTTGTGGTTTGTGCAGAGGCATCGGTGTTGTTGTTCATCAACGATTCCCTCGCATTAGCATCAATTTTTGTGTTCGCAGCTGAGACTTTCTCATTATTTACATTATCACTATTGGTTTCCTGCGATTCGCCACGATTATCGCGCTCTGTTTCGCCACCACCAATTGCAATGGTGTCGAGTGAATCATAGGAAAGAGTCGACAATACAAGCGCTTGTACAAATTGTGATCTATATTGAAGAGAAAAAAGATATATTATTAGTTTCTTATTCTAAAACGCGAATAACACGGGAATTGTACTTTCACTGTCGAATATCGATATTTCCTGCGTATAGACGACTCTAATTGGAAAAAAATGCTTATGCATATTTCTACAATGTGTTTTTGTCGACATCACAGGTTGATAGTTATATAAAAAAAACATTAAAAAATAAAATTAATTAATTTAAAAATAATAATACAAAAATATAAAAAATATGTAAAAAAAAATATATAAAAAAAATTTTTATAAAAAAATAATAATGTTAAAAATACTAAAAATATAAATAAAACATCATTAATAATCGGCTTCTTTCCAGCAGTTGTCAGTTCCTGATTTTTTTAATAAATAATAATCCGTTTTATATTTACAAATTAAGTTCTTTCTAATTTTTCTAATCCTCTCTTAATATTGCTTGCATTGGTAGCTGAGGATGCGTTCCAAGAAAAAAACAAAATACTTTTGATATGAAATCTCTTTAAATAATTAAAAAATCATAGCAAATAGAAGAAAATTTTGACGTTTTTCAATTAGTTGCTTATTAATTTTTTATTAAAATAAAACATTTATTTTTCTGAAAATTCTGATTTGAAATTTCAGACAACAAAACTGCTGGATTGTGTTATCTTAAACTAGAATGGTTTAATGTGCTAACGCACAATAAAATTTACGTTTAAAAATTATTCGAAGTTTGTATCTATACGAGTAGAATGATAATGAGCTGCCAATATTTTAAACACACTTGAATATCACAAAAACGCACACTATTCCACATACATACCGATTAGATCGTTCTCTCTCCATTTCAGCCCATTCTGTATCACTCAATGTTGGCTGCATGAATTTTGTTAGCAGAAACTGTGATTGAACGTCAGCCCCATTACTTGCGCCATTAACACCCGCACCCACTGCACCGCCAGCAATTGACATGCCGAGTATATTGCTAGCATTACTGCCGCTACCCCCATTTAAACTACCACTTCCGCCGCCACTCTATTCGGAAAGATCAGTACAAATTAGAAATACATATTCGGTTGTCGGATGTAATGTTAATATAAATACTACTTCTCTGTTGTTGATTCCGGCGTTGCCTGTCAGACCTGACTGCGATTGTTGCTGAGCTGCTAGTGATGGATTAACAGTCCATTCGTTGGTGCGACATGAACTACCGCCACCACCATTGAGACTACCAGAACCGCTTGCGCCACTGCCCCCTGAACCACTGCCGCTTAATATCGGACCGCTGCTTATCACCTCTGGCATGGTTGCATTCGAATTCGATGAAGAGACCATCGGATGAGCCCGTCGGGGCAACCGTTCCAACTGTTGGCGAGTTGCCTAAAAACAAACAAACAAAGAAATGACATTAATTAGTACATATAAATATGGCGCAAACAAAAAAAAAAAAAGAAAATAAAAACATTTCAATGAAATTAAAAACATAAACAAATAATTTCGTCATTCTTTCGTATGGATGTGCACGACGTTGACCCCTGTAAAAATTGTACAACTGCGCAATTTTCTACTGCAGCATGAATATACATAAGTAAGTAGCCAGGTCCATATAAATACACTTCTAAAATACATATGTATAAACATAAGAAACTCAAAATTACATACCGTCACTTGTTGTCGTTCTAATTGTATTTGCATTTGCAATTGTTGCAGTTGAGACGTCTGTGGTCCACCTCTTCTCACGCCCGATAACTGTGAAAGTAATTCCGCAATAGGATCTACTGATTCTCTTCCAGATGGGGAAAGGGCAGATAATCCGCTCGATGAACTAAAGTGCATATTAGAACGACGTGCACGAGGACCTCCAAGAGTACGACCAGGAATGCGACGTACGCCACCACCATGTCGAATTGCTGATGGCTCATCGTATATTTCAAAGATACATATTAAGGAATACCATTCGATATATAAAAAATAACAAAAAAAAAATGTACAAAAAAAAAATTAAATAGCTTATATGGAATCTTATGTTTAAAATCGTGATTATTCAAAAAGGATATCAGAAATGAAATTAATTCCCGTGGTCCCGTTCGATGCTCCAATGTTAGATGACCGGCAAAGTCGTCTGTGACTAGATTCGGTTCGCCTCCCGGTAGTCCGGCACATACTGGACACACCACTTCGAGGCTGGTCTCCGTATGCTCGGCCGAAACATGTTCCAGTAACGTAGCATCGCTAAAACCCATTTTTTTGCAATAGGGGCATGTGAAGCTTTGTGGTTGCTCTGAGTTGAGCATTTCGCCACCGAAAAACAATTCAATATCGGAACGCGTTAGAATACATTGCATGGGATGATCGACCAAATGACGCGTAGATGTAACGCCATCCTCATAGCAATCAGCACATAAATCATAATCATAGCATATCAAGCATTTGTAGCGGCGACCATTAAAGTTGCTTTTGAGACAAGAATCACAACTGACTCCTAAATACAAATTAAAGTGATTTAGTGTTTACGGTTTTGTTACTAAAATGCATTTTCGCAGTTCTTAAATCTATGACACATTTCTCAAAATTTACAAATAAAATGTTTACCTTCATGGCGACTCATTATTCACAAGTCGAATTATACCAAAGTCTACGCTGCCCCGTTGTTTAGACGCTTTACGATGCTGTCACTGCGTGTTTTTAACACGTTTCTATTCGCTATAATCCGTTTGTGTGTTTACCCGTTCTTCTGATTGTAGCTACCGCCGATACAAAGTAGAATAGGAATAGTAGTCTAATATGTGCATCAAATACGTTTTTTTTTCACACACTTTAACGTTCTTCGTAAATGCGAATTGTCGTATTTAATTTTTTTTTATATCAGCAGAATATCCCAATATAGAATATATTTCTTGAACGTCACAGCGTTTGCACTTATAACTTTTTTTTTAGTAAATCTATAGGCCACCAAGTACTATATGTTTGTAATAGAGGTTAGCGTTGAACAATGAATTGTAACGTTGTTAGGAAGATCCCTTCACAATTTCATCAATAAAGAATCACTTATTTTATACTTTCGCTGTTTGAATATTTATGCTTTTCAGCAGGACGTTGCTGCAGCCGAATGGTAGGCCGTGGCCAATAATTCAATTAGTTTATTGAAGAAATAGTAGTAGTATCTTAATTTTTTTTATTGTAATTGTCGTTTGTTGTAATAATGCAGCAACTAGGTATAGAGAAACACATATAATATATTAGTTCAAGTTTTGGTAATGAATAGAAAATTGGGGAAGGAATGCATCATTAGACATCGCGATGAGATACAGCAACGAATTATATAACATATCTAAGGTAATTGTTTGAGGGTACCGGAAGAATTATATTATTTTGCAAAGAATGAATTTAAATTTTACTTTGTAATGCAAATTGCCATTTTGTATAAGAGTTGTATAATTTCTTTAATACAGATAAATCGTTTTGCACCACGCATTTCCTGATTCTGATTTCATTAGCTATTCTTTTCTTTGGATATAGCAATCGAATCACTATTTTTCCCTAAACAAATGAACCACTCAATCCACTTTATCTTGTTTTTTTTCTTAGATACCTTTCCTCTTATTGCATTCCAATTAGACCAACGAAATTCCCTTAGATATATTGCAAATTTGCACAGTTCTATTCTTATTTTATTTCTTTTCTTTTGTATTACACTCGAACAGAAACGATTAAAATTTGTACCAAAAACGATTCATTACGCTTGCTTTACCTTCACTTAAATTCCTTTATTTTTTTATGTATTCCGTTTTGTGTTTGTGGAAAACTCAAATCTAACAAAAGAATCGCAAAGTTCTTTGTTTTCAAAAAGAATTTTCTTTTAATTATGATATTCTTGTTTTCACTTCTGCAATATATTCCATTGCGAAAATTTTATTTTTAACTCCTCACCAAGGAAAGCAAGAAAAAAGGAAAATATTCAGCCCGTTGCCCGTTCACTCGTTTCGTTAAATCGTTAAACATCGTGTGTTCTTCATCGGCCAACGCAATGTTGCCAGCTTCCAAAAGCTGAATAAATTATTTATTTTCCAAAAATTAAAGCTTATGACAGTAGCAGTATCATTTTATTTTTAAATTAGACATATATAATTTTAGAGTTTTTATCACACGTTTATGTCATTTTATCTTGTTACCTTAAGTATACATTTTCGTTTGTATTTGTTCATTTAAAACATTTTTGTATTCTTTCATACTTCAACAAATAGTTAAGGTTATTTTCATTGTTTTTTTTTTATAAGAATGTGGTTACAATTTTCGAAAAATATCGGAAACTGTAGCTCTACGATTAAAAAAATTTTAAACGTTCTTAAATGCAAGCTAAACATAAAATTATATTATTATAAAAAAGTACTTAATGCGCCAATTACCACAGGGTGGAGTTTAAACTTTTGCAAAATTTAGGAAACCCACTTATAACACTTAAACAGTGGCCCATTCTTTTTTTTCATTTTTATTAATAAATATTGTTTTTCTTTTGAATTGCTCAAGCTCTACCTCGTGGTGGGTGGAAATGCAAGTGCAGCGAGGCAATATAATGATTGTTTCGAAGAAAGGCGTATCATAAAATAATAATTTTCTTGTCAAATTAACAATCATAAGTGCAAGAGGAAAACCTTCTACGCAATTAACTTTTTAAAATGTTGATTTTACATTGTCACTGAATCACATTACAATATCTAGACACAATAATGTTTTGCTTTTCATTTTACTGCGTTTCAATAATTGGATTCACAGTATTAAGTTGCTCATCCTCAGTCATAGTTGCAATATACTAATTCACCATAAATTTGTATCTTTCACAATCCTCAGAAATAAAATGAATGCATCGAAGAAATGATATATTTATGTATATCTAATTTGCGATTGAATGCAACATCAATACACTATCGCTAGCTTTCAATCAAACATTCAATAGCAATGCAAACGATGACAATTGGAAAAATTCCCATTCTTCACTCTTCCCGCATATAATTTAAGAAGGCGAAAGTTTTGATTTTCAATTACTTTATTTTGCAATTATTTTTATATACTTTATGTATTAATTTCTATTACACTCGATCTATCGAATAAAATAAATAAAATTCACTTTAACAAAAATTTAGAATAGAAGGAAAAACAATTTATTTCGCGACAGGAGATAATTTTTCAGACTTTTATGTTTTTTCTCTTTAGTTTTCGGTCTTTTACTTCTACCATTTTACAGAGTTGAATCTCAAAGTATATTTTAGCTCTACCATATTGAATCAAATTATGTTTTTTTTTTTAGGACAAAACTTAATACAGTTTAATTGATCAGTGTAAATAAAATGATAAATCTTTAATTATTTAATCAATATATTTAAGTTTTTTCATTAAAGTCAATGAATTGCTATTAGAAAAATTGTGCATATTTCAATTGAAACTAATCGTAACGATGAATATTTATTTATGTTATCGAGAAAAATCGATATAGAACCTAGTTTAAAAAGTATATAAAATTAAATCTAAATTGTGCCCATTTAATTTTTAGTTTCTATGCTGAAGTTACAGGTAAAAACTTTCAAACTGAAATAATTTCTTAAGATAAAGCCAGTAAGCATTAAAAGAGCTCAAACATTGTAAAATATTCACTCACCGCCTGCCAAAAAAACATATTTCACATGCCCTATTGACATTGATTGTGAGAACTCATTTATCTAATCCGTTTTATAAAAAAAAAGTCGATCACATAATTAACGAAAAACCTTTTCTTTTTTTATATATATAATATGTTAACAAACACATCTTTAGATGAAATTAGCGGATTTTGAATATATTTTTACTTTTAATGATCAATTTACATTGATTTAGGTGTTAAAAAAATTATATTGTTTATTTAGGAATTCAAAGATAGCTTATAACTATTTAATAACTAAGCAAAAGATAATTATTACATCATTAAATTAGCTTTCGTCGCAAGTTTGCTGCTTTTCACTTGCACTATCTGTCGATGGTGCACTGTTGAGCAATGCTGCTTCCCTAACAGCTTTTTTATAATCGCGAAAACGCGGGCGCTTTGGCGGATTCTCAGCATCGCTTTCACTCGCCGTACTTCCTTCACCGCTCCCACCTCCAAAATCATTGGTACTCTCATCCTCACTTAACTGCTTTGCTTGTTCTTCTCGACGTTTTCGCACATTCAACCAATTTAATAAGGATTTATTGCAACCTTTTGAAGAACCATTTTTCTGTATCAACTCTATAGGCTTATTGCATTGCTCTGATTTATTACGCGAATTGTTGACGTGATTAGATACACAATACCATTGCAATTTAGTGGCAGGACGCAATGTAGCTAAGGCTTCATCGTCTGTTACTCGCTTAAAGTCAATCCAATCCTGAAATTGAAAAAAGATTAGAAGTGTACACATGTTCAAGCAAATTCTTTACATTCACTTGTTGCTCCGTTTCAAGAATGGCAGGCATGCGATGATGTAGCCAAGACATTATTTTTGAAGACTCAAATGTTATTATACTATAACTATATATTTTGTCACCATTTTCATCTTCCCATACATCGAAAAGACCAGCCATTTTCAATAGATTGACATTACCAGCAGTCCATGTGGATTTGTCATACATTTTTATACCTTCCGCTTGCGGCATATATAATAGATGTGCTGCCCGTTCTGAGGGTTTAGCCGATTTTGTCGTCTGCCATTCATAAAAGCCTTCGCATAGAACCACGCAGCGCTGACCTCTTCGAAATGGACCACGATATAATTTTGATTCCAGCATATGCTCTAACCGGCAATTATTGGTTGATAAACCATGTCGGCGATAGTCACCTGTATGCCAAAATGGTATCATACCCCACATCATTGGCACAATAACTTGAGATTGTGCACTAAATTCTTCATTTTTACCACCGTCACAGAAATGATCGGTAGATACAATAACAGGTGTAATATCAGTGGGAGTTATGTTATATGAGGGTTGATAGGTACGACCGCAGTTAAACTCAGAACGCCACTCTGGAATAAGTAATATACTATCAAGAGTGGAATCACAGTTCTTTTTTTCATCAATTTTTGGTGCAACATTTCTCTCGGTCTTTTTCTCGTTTGTAGTATTAACTAATTTTGTTGTCTTATATCTACAAGCGCACAACAAATCCTTCGGTTCCAATGTTCTTGAAAAATTTAAAATAAAATAGTTTAATATGCTATATATATTTGTATTGATTGCAAACATTTACAAGCAAGTTCTTCCACACATATCGAATTATTTTCAGCTTGTACAAAATAGTAACGTATGAAGTTATGTATATTTTAACATTAAACATTAATTTTCTTTGCCAATAATTGCAAATTTGTACATATACAATATTTTCCTTCGAATGAATACGATTGGATTTTGCAAAACGCCGCATATTATCGATATATTTTATTATGTTAATCGATTTTATATGAACAGCTGTGAAGAGATGCCACTTGCATATTCGAATTGTTCGTATACAAGACAAAGATTTCCAACATGTCGCGCAAGACTAATTTTATTGGAACCAACAACTAAAGTGCTTAAAAAGGGGAAATAAAAAGGATGGAAATCGTAGCTTTAGTTACGAAAGTAAAAATGGAAATAGAAAAGGTAGAATGTTAAATTAAAATAAATTTAAAATTTCCATTAAAAATTCTACTGTTATTTTGAAATATATTCTTTTTTGTAGAAATGAACTACCGTCCTACCAGTAAAATTACAATTTATTGCCAACAAAAGCTATCACAATTGTCGGTATTAATATCATCAGTATTATTATTCTGATGACTTTTATCAATCAAATGTAATGTAATATAAATGTTGCTGCTAAGATTTGCGACATACACTTATAAAATATTTTATCGTTATTGTAGTGCACATCCCTAGAATATACGGAACAATTGGTCGGCGTTATTCATAATAAATTGATTTTGTTTTTAATTTAACTACCTAGTTTTAATAAAATATACATTTTCTATAATGGGAGAAAGATATAATATACACAGTCAACTAGAGCATTTGCAGAGCAAGTATATCGGTACCGGACATGCAGATACAACAAAATTTGAATGGCTAACTAATCAACATCGCGATTCCCTTGCTAGTTATATGGGCCACTACGATATGTTGAATTATTTTGCAATTGCTGAAAACGAGTCTAAAGCCCGCATCCGATTTAATTTGATGGAACGCATGTTGCAGCCGTGTGGACCGCCACCAGAAAAGGCCGACGATTAGAAATTAGTAGCCAATAGTGGTATTGTAATGTGTATTGAACTAGGAAGTTAAATTTTCTAAAATAAAGTAAATATTGATTTATAGATCCAAAAATTCTTTGGTTTATTTAATTTGCAAATTTCTAATAATAAAAAATAGATCTCGTTATTTGAGCAGTAATATGCAGTAAATTTTAGTTTACCGAAAAATTTGTTTAGTTGAATCCATCTAATATTTAAAGAAATTATGCAAACTTATATTAGTGAGATTTATCAAAGCGATACAACTTTATTTAAAATAAAAGTACATTGTCACACAATAAAATGCGATATTTTACATTTATTTTATACCCGTGTATATTTGAATGTTATAGAAGCATTTAGTTTCCGAAAATGTAACCTGCTGCGATGGTATACAAATACAATGTATATTAACACTATTTCCTTTTTTTTTACGCACAATTTTATGGTTTTGAAATTGTTCTTTTGCTTGCATGCCACTACAATACATGTTGTTTCTTTCTAGATAATATAAAAAATTAATATATGCACATTTATATATATATTTGTTCATGTATAGATGTACATATCTAAATACAAATTTTAAACAGATCATAATAAGTTTCAAGTATAAACAACTGATGGTCATTTTCGTACAATTGTATCAAATGTTGCTGTTTCAGCACTTTTTAAATTTTCGAGTGTTATTGTTTGGCCTTAATACTCATGCAAAACTTATATATGTATGAGTACGTAATATCATATACATACATATGTATTAGTACCTCCAATAAAGGTTTTGGTAAAGAATATAATAACAGTAAGTAATGACATTGATGCAGACACAAACTACACACTCCTATATACGTGCATACTCGTTCATAAGCTTATGTAGGTTTAAAACATAGTGAAATATTCGTTTATAAGTTATTGCTAAGGTGAACTTTCCCCATCCCTTTGTAATTTGTTGATGAATTAATTTTCTATGCCCAAATACAATATTATTTAAATCTGATGCCATACATTTTCTATACACTATTTTCCAATTTGTTATTTTATAATTGAAAATATTTACGTTCTAGTTAATGTACTTTTTTCTTAATGATGTTATTTACTTTCTATGATGTTGCATATAATATTTGACGTTTACGCGGTATTCGAGTGGCTGCCTTAATTACGCTCTGACATATCGCAACAAATTTCGAGTCAATGAATAGGGTTGTAAAAAATGCAGTGTCGTGACGATTTCTGGTGTTATTTTGAAACGTGCTTTAACGGCAATAATATTGTGCTACGGTTCGACACTCTATATGATTTAAATCATTAATCTAAATTAGCTTTTACAAAATTGCCACAAAAAAGTTACTTCTAAACATTAAAGTAGTTCTAAAATTTACTTTGCTAATACTTTCAACATATTTTTCATATGACATATTGCTTTGTACGTACATATGTATGTATGTTACAAGCCAACACAAATGCTTTACTAAGTTTTTTTCCTTTGCTCGCATACATTAGGCACTACTTATTCAAATTGCGTGTTGAACATATTGATGTTGAGGTCTTCAAATGTAGTTGTGCCGCTTTGGTCTAGCATCTGCAGCATGTCGGAGAACTCCTGACCTTGCGGTTGGCCGGCTTGCACATGTGCTCCATGAACGACGTGGGGTACATGACCGGTGTGTGGAGCTGCATGAGGTCCATGCGGATGTTGTGGTTGAGTGGGATTTTGCCAGTCGCCCCACATGCCAGGAGCATTTGCAGGTGGCGGAGCAGCACCTTGCGTGTTGTTTCCGGTGTGATAACTGCCTTGTCGTGTATTACCGGCACTTAATTGAGTGTACGTTGGGCCACTCGGTGAACGTGCTGGACTCGTTTGATTGTATTGATAACCCTCGGATACAGCTTGTTGTTGACGAAGAGTGGTCCAGGTGGGCGCCGCAGGAGTTGGAGAACTGTTAGCCTTCGGAATTTTTGCCATATGTGCTGTATTTGGTGATGGACCACCTGCATTGGGTGGATAGCCACTTAACGGCGAGTGTGTAGCATCATAATTATAGGCTACAGCATTTTGTGCTGAGCCAGGGCGTGGTACATTATTGGTTTGCTGCCCGGTCATTCCACTTTGTGAGGGTATGTGCGACCCGATCATTCCATGTGTTGCATACATACCATCCGCAGCGGCTGCCGATGGTGTGACATCTCGACGAGCTTGCAAAGTGTAGTCCACAACGGGTGCTACGTAGACATGTTCAGCAGTCGATTGATCTGGCGTATTAGCATCATGACCCGTATTCGAATGTAGTGTTTTGGCTGAACTATTTGTGCACACAATATATTCTACTTCTTCGGTATAGGGATTAAGAAATGCATTTACATGTGTTCGTAGCCAAACGTATTCACCGCTTTTAGTACGTGCACGATACATTAGCGAAAAATTCCCCTTTTGCTTTAGTACTTGGTCAAAGCTGTCTTTTACATTCATTTGATCTTCGGTGTGGCAGAAATCGTAGCAAATTTTCCCAAGTAAATCTGTTGGTGTATAACCAAGAACATTCATAACACGTTGGTCGACAAAAGTATATTTTCCATCCATTGCATGACGCGTTATAAATTCTGACTGATTGTTTGAATTTGTCATATCATTGGATGCAGTTGATGTCACCTGCAAGCGCCCAATTGCGACTAGGCAACAATGTGAAGAATGCATTTCGTCATCAACCGGACGTTCCATATGTACACTAGGAAACATATCAGTTGGTGGCCAGTTTTTTATATATCCTGTACAGTGTACTACAGCGTAGTTAGTACCGTCGCGAGAAGGACCGAGTGAATTCCTTTGCTTTAATCGATTTAAATGACCAGCAACCATTGTATCTGGATTTACATTGCCAACTCGCATACGACATATAAAACCACGGCGTGCACCCATGCTAAGCCGCATAGACGATTGGTGACCCTCCTTTTTCACTGTACCTGTTTTAAGATCGAGTATACGACCAGTATTTTGTGACTCTTGTGTGGATAATTGTTCACGTATCTTCTCGCGATCGTCAGGATGAATGTGTTCATACAAACTCGTGCCATACCAATCACTCTGCGTGTAGTTCAATACCGGAGTAACTGAATCTGAAACATATATAACACGACCAGAATCGCAAGACACAACAAATAGAAATCCATCAGCTGCTTCTAATATTAAATGCTTCAACTCTTGATCAGTAAGAAAAGAAGGTTTGTAGGTGCCATCACTGCTTGTATTTCCTGTGCCACGCAAAGCTTTCATATGTGCAACCGCCATACGGAGTATCGTCAGTTTGTCAGGTTTACGGGCTAGCGCACTGCAGGTGGGTACCATATCGGAAAGCTCAGTGATATAAGCCGTCATTTTGTTTCTTCGACGTCTTTCAATTTCACAATGATTTTCCCGACTGGCAAAACGCTCCTTATCCTGCATGTTTGATTCGTCCATGACTTGAATATTAAATGTATGTACCGCGGTTTTATACTGTCTCAATTATTGCTTTCTAATTTTGGTTGAACGTTTCCGTTGTTCTCGTTGAGTTATTCTTTTCGTATAGCACAGTTGTTGTATTTGTGGTGTGGTGCGGACCAAAATGAGGTTGCATGCACTTTGTCTACGTAGTAAAAATTTCCCCGAATTTAATTACTCAAGCTTAAAGCACAGTTGTTTGCATCAAGCATTGTTGAGTGGTATAAATTGCATTAACAAAATGTTTTAAAACAATTCTCACATACTTAATATAGTTTCTAGCAAAATTTTTCTATAACTTTAGTGATTTACCGAGAATTTCTACACGAAAAATGTACCAATGTTTACAGCAAAGTTGACTGTACACGGTAGACAGTCGAAAGTGTTGCCAGCTTTTTATAGTTTTGTGTAGGTCGTATCTATTTGTTATAATATATGTTTTCTTTTCCCAATACCTTTTTCGAATATATAATATATGTATTCACTGTAAGTAATAATGACGTTGCTTATATATTTGCTTAGTTTGTATCGTATTCCTATTTGGCGGAAAACTGTTTTAAAGAACTATAAAAAATATTTCATAACACACAATAGGGTGGCAATGTTTGCAAACAACATCCACAAAATACCAAGTAATGCCGAGTTCCAATAGTACAAGATTTGATTAAGAGCTGACTAATATAAAAAAATCTAATTTAATGTGTCTTGCTTTCCGTATATTTTTTTACAAACACCAAATTAAAAATGTAATTAAAATATTTAAATGTGAGTTTTTTAACTCACTACTGAAATTTGGGGAAGCCACTAACAAAGTAGGAATTCTTTACAGTGGTTCCCCTCGTCGCTTCTGTTAAATTTTCAAGCTCGAACCAATAAATAGATTATTGAATCAATGAATGTGCTGCCAAATTTCTTAAGTTCGGATCGTCGAAAAGCTTTGAGTCTTATCACGAATTGTTGCGACTAACCAATCTAAGCGCGAAGGCTTGTGTTCGACCACAGCTCGACACTGATCTTCCTGAGCTCGTTAACCAGAGTGATGTCCAGCACTTCATTTTTAACACTTGTTACGATGGTGGGTTCGCATCCCACATTTTCAATGCTTAATTTATTACTAATAATACATTCAAGGAGAGACTCACCCCGTGTGTTGGAGTCCGTGCTGCACCATTCTGTATGGTGGGCATTGGCGTCGCATCCTCGGACCAGGGGCAGCTTGTTTCTTCTGCAGTACTCCACCAGGTTACCCACGGCCTCTGGGAGTGCTGTCGGTGTCTCCCCCGGGAGAACTCCTACAATTGTAGCAATATGAATTTTGCTAACCGTCCTTTTTGCAAGATCATCGGTTGCGTTCTCTAGCGATTCCGCTATTATCAGGCATTCTACCAAATCTAATAACGATGGGAATCTGTTGCTACCAGGTCTGGCGTAGTCTGGTACTCTGAGGTTGGAGATGGTGGAGAACTCTCGACAGAAGTCATCTCCCAACTTTACCCTTAATTTCGATCCAACCGTGAAAAATGTTACTGCATTTTTCTGTTTCGACTTCCACCCACCCACGTATCCCACGCAGGTATGCGTACAGAGAAAAACCATCAGGAAAAGATTCCCCCACGCAGTGATCCAAATTAAGGAGAATGCAGTCGATGTTACGGAAGATTACCGATGTCCCTGTCTATGGTATATATACACATATATCGTTTCTTATCAGATTAGATATTCCCTGGCTTACGAAAAGTTAATGCTAATGAATATTAATTTACAATATACATCGGTATATCAATTATTTTGGATTTTGGACGCACTCCATATTTCTCTATTTTAAATTTTTCATAAAAAAGTGCTTAGAGCTAGAAAACCAAAAGATCTGTTTAATCTTTTTCAAAATTCTAGTTTATAATTTTATTTTTACAAGGGGCTCACATTCCATACCACATTCTCAATCCAGTCTAAATACAAGTTTACTTTTGTATTGATACTAGGGATGCCAGCAGTGCCACATTGCACATAACCAAAAGAAGTAATGGCGGCAACTTGCAACATGCAAGGATAAGTTGTATGCGGTACATAAAGCGGCCCACCAGAGTCGCCGTTACATGTGTCAAAGCCATGCTGTCGACTGCCAGCACAAATTTGAGTGCGTTCTTTAAGACCCATTTCAAGATTTTCTTCTACCGGTACAGATGTAGTACATTGGTCACCGGTAAACAAATCCAATTCCACCTTGAGCAGATGTGGTGATGAGATCCCCTTTTCGGTTTTACCCCAACCAACAGCTGTGAAGCTTTTATACTCAGCATTTTTTGATGGCAAACAGGCCGGAATGACATACTCATTAAGTATTACATTACGATCCAGTTCGATCAGTGCAATATCATTGTAACGATCCAAATTGTAGCTTGGGTGTAAAACTGCATTGTGTACATTGAAATCTTGTGTTTGTGTAGCATCTTTCGTAGTACTGTAATCCAATTCGCCTAAGCGTACGATATTTATGCTACTGGCACTGTAAGAGAATATCAAGAAAATGTTGGAGAAATTACTGAATTACTTAGAGGAACGAATTAGAGATTGTTATATTATAATATATCATCTAACAACAGGTTCACGAAATAGCGGTGGTTAGTGTAATCTGTCTGAATAAGTCGTAGTTTAAACTGCCACAATAGTTACAACGGTTTCACAAGACAACTCGCACCCTTTGATTGCGATTCATCCGCAAAAGTAAAATTAGTGAATTCATATGAAATTTTAGAAGTCTTTTTGGAAGTTTCTGGAATGCGCTTCCTCTACGAACAAACATCTCCAGGTTGATTTTCTGCAAAATACCATACAGGACTGGACTTCGATAATTTTTTACTTGTTTCTTGTTCTTTCTAGAACTCCTGAAGATAATTTCATAAATGTTGATATTCAAGCTTTTTAATGAGTTTTGGTTATTCACAATATCATATGAGTCCTCTATAATTTATGCTAGCTGTTTGTACGATTGGCTTGAACTTGAAGAGTTGGTTATACACACTTACTTACATTCGGAAACAATGCGCTGCCGTAACGACAAATCTTCTGCTTATCAAAGTGCCACCACAGTACCAATCTGTCTGTCCGGTATTATTATCCTTTGATCCAAGCAGTGCAATCGAGGGGAATTCCTTTGGCTTGGCTTTTACACCCCCGTAGATCAGTGCTTCTGAACAAGAACTGGGCGCAAATTTTGCGTACTCGGAACATGCTACAATATACAATATATTTTTTCGTTTAAGTAATGAGAGTTGAAATTCATAACATGAATAGTTTACCCTTTTCAGCGTATGTATCTGTCTCGGTGCCCTCACTTTGTGATTCAAAGCCAAACTCCGTTCGTGGACAGCAGACGATACCCCTCAATTTATCACAAAAAAGAATGGAGTTTATGTCGATCGTAGATTGTTTGTATATAGAAGGGCAATATTGAAACTCCTTACATTCACCTCTGGAGTTGTTACAGTCGGCGGCTACAGGAGATCAAACACATATAAGTAAAAACTATTCATTTGAAGATATGTTTTTTGGTTAAAAAAAATTGCTTTCCGGAAAGCTATAAGATGTTCTGAGAATTATTTCATGTCAGCTATACTTGTAAGTATGTTATGTCCGGGCTCTACCTGAAGGTTTTTAAGTGACTGCCGGTAGACAATCGAAGATATTGGAGTTTAGACTACGGCAGTGGCACATATATTTAAGGAACAATATTTAATTTATGTATATCTAAGCTTACTTCGCATACGCTCCTGTTAAACTAAAGCTTTTAAGCTTTGCGAACGGTTTCTGGTATACCTTTAACAACTTGAATTGTCTGAATTGTTAACAGTTACTTTGTATTACCTCGAATAATTACGGTAATACTATCACAATTGTTCAAATGAATTTTTTATAACCGGAAAATAACTCCGAGTACACTTGAAAATTGGGTTCCCCGTACAATAATTTGTATAGCGGTGAAAACTTTATGGTAAATTATGCCAGCTAACGGATTATTCCAAAAACCGTTCGGAAATTCCTAATTTTCGCTTTGGATTCACTTACTGAGACTCAGGCCTTGAGAAAACTTCTTCTATTTTCATCTGAAAAATTTATTTAACGCTTTCAGTCGACTCTAAGATAATTCGCTACCGCTTCCTCTCTTCTTTTCCTACTTTTTAAATTTTTAAAAATTGAAATTGCTATCCATATTGTTTCAGTTTCTTGGAAAGTATGTATTTATGCATGTATGTTTAATGAGAAATAGTAACTCTCGTAAATTCGGGTGTGAAGATTTTTTAGCGGAGGTGGGAACATTTATTTCAAAGAGAGACTTACCTAAGAGAGCACAAAAAGAGTCGCAGGTATTACTCAGTACAAAAATAGCGATTTCAATTATTTACGAGGTGCGTTCAAAAAATTACGGGAATTTTCGTTTTGTGAAAAATATATTTATTCATTCGTCTATATTAATGTTGCGGCCTTCAAAATAATTCCCATTCGATATTATGCACTTACGTCTATTTTAAAATTCCCGTTATTTTCTGTTAGTTATTAAAAAGGTGTTATGACTTGTGATCGATATTTTTTGCCATTAAGTTTATAACACCTAGGCGGAAAAATCGGAGATCTTATAAAATATACATTGTATAAATGATCAGCGCGACGAGCTCAGTCGATTTAGCAATGTCCGTCTGTCTGTCTGTACATACACGAACTGGTGCCTCAGTTTTTGAGATATCGATCTGAAACTTTGAACAAGAAACTGCTCATTTGTCGGCATCGCCAATATTGGACAACTATAGCGTATACTCGTAGCTGCCATAAAAACTGAACGACAAAAATCCAATTCTTGTACTTTATACTTTTTCCTTTGATTTCGGTGCAATCGATGTTAACGTATATTCTTGTTTTAATTTTTATTAATTGTTGGAGGTGATGTTACAATTGTTGACATACAATTTTTGATTTACTTTAATTATTTATTAAATTGAAAAATTCGATTCTGGTTTTGTTGATTTTGTTTTTGATATGCTGAAATGTATACACATACATATATATTAACATGCGAATGCTTACCGCTACTTTGTCCACCCACAATTGAGCGCAAGATAAACACAACAATATAAATATTGACTTTATTAGACATATTTATATACATATTTAGGTGTTCAATTTTCAATTTAGTATATATAATAACAATTTAAATCAAAACAACAAGTATATATGTATTTGTCTGGTATGTACAAGTATATATGTATGTAAATAACAAAACGTTTGTTTATTGTTCAAACACTGTCGTAATACCAGAACGTGTTCACTTTTACGACTGACCGATGTCATGCCATACTTGTCTAATAACAATAAGAATTGCCAATATTTATATTCGATCTCTTTACAATTTTTGCGATAGAGTTATTCGCAAAACACATGCTTTTAAGTATCGATATTAAGTGTAGAATATGTTCATATATTGGTGAGTTAATTGCGGTTGAATGTTTACACACGGTCACAAAAGTAAGCATACAAGCAGCAGCTATGTTAGTGTGATGATTTTGAATTGATGTGATTATGAAGTGCGGCGAATCAAACAAACAATAAGTTTAAATCAAATTGTTATAATAAAAAAAAGATAAGCTGCGTTCCAGAGACGCGAATCGAACAAATTATAACAGTTATCAAAAAGACTGGCAGCACTGAAAAGGAACTGACGGAAATTATAGCTAGTATATGCCAGTTCAGAAAATAAACGAACGATACTTTATTTACTAAAATTAATAAACAAATATTAGTTATTCACAGAATCTGGCGTTCTTACTTCTGAACTTAACTATTTTACACTTGATCTACTTTTCTATTCGTTAGCACTTGCTGATTTCCTCTAACGCCTAAAATTATGCTTTATATTTTGGCAACTTATAGTGGGAATGAACATGGTGCAGCCAGAGAACTTAGAACGACATTTAAGTTCTCTGGTGCAGCTTCTTTACTCAACCATAGTGACACATCTTTAGAAAATAAATCTATAATAATTATTCGTTAACAAAAGTAAATTATTTAATCATTTAATCGTTTTTTTTTAGTGAAATGTATAGAGTTAATGAGACGTAAAAAGCAAATTAAATGATTTATTAAAAAGTGGTTAAATGTTATATTTTTATATAAAAGTACCTATACAAAGTCTAGTAAAACTAAATTCATTATATTTTAATTAAATTAAATGTTTTATTTAGCACAAAGTTAGTATTATCCGATTAAGGTAAAATATGCACCGTTTTGTTTGATAACTGTTTGACAATTTGAAGAAATTTCATAATGCCACTCTCATAGAAAATCTCGTCCGTATTAGCAAAAGACTGGGACAGTCGATTTTCACAAGCTTTTCTTGAGACGAATTTTTCACCCACAAAATTATTCGCCAAAGACAGGGACAGGTAGTAATCACATGGCGCCAGGTACGGACTATAAGGTAGATGTCTAATAACCGCTCACCATAGCTCCCGGAGCTTCTTGCGAGGCACTTTCGATATGTGTGGCCTGGCCTTGTCCTAATGGAACACAATTTCTCTTTTATTGGCCTAAGCTGACCGATTCTGGCCGATTGATTCCTTTAGACTGTCCAAGTGTTGGCAGTACAGGTCCGATTTAAAAGTTTGGTGGTAGGAGAGTAGATGGTAGATGACACAATGCCACTAAACAGATATCAGAGCCTTTTTGACATTGAATCCTAGCTTCGCCACCGTTTGAGCCGCTTTATCGTGTTTTCATCTCGACTGTCTTCGCTTGAAGTTGTCGTAAGTGACATAGTTTTATCACCAGTAACCCCATCCGCTTTAGTAATTAATCGATTTTGCTACGATTTATTCCAAAAAAAACTTTAACAACATTTTATTTGTACTACTTTGGAGATTAATTCGATTAATTCGGTAGCAATAAAAGTTTTGTTATAGAATTTACTAATATTATTGCTCTACAGTTCCTTCCATTTCTCCGCTAAAAAGTTATGCTGTAGTACAAACATAGTATGTATATATAAGTATTGGCCGAGAAAGGTGAATAATTCTCTTTTAAACTACAATTAAAAAAATTTAAAATTTAAACTCGTTACCTCAATAGTAATTTTCGAAATTTTTTTGCGGGTATTACAACAGTAACTCGATTTACGATATAATTACCTCAGCTACTTGATTTGAGATTGCAAACTATGACATCGTCAAGTCGTTGCAATTAATTGTCGAAAGCTCGATATTTAGAATTAACCAATCGAACCTTCAAACATCATATAGTTACTGTAGATACTTACATATATTGTAGTATTATATATGGTAAACAGCTATACCAATTTCCAATTCTACCCAGTTGCCATACATATATATATATGTATGTATAAGTATATACACACGAAAGTCATTAAAAGACTTGATTGCTATTAAAAATATATGTCAGCGATGTCGCTTTCGTTTAATACGTATGTATATGGAGGGCAAAGCGACTAACTATAAAAAAAACAAGTTCTGTGCCACGACATCCACTTATGGATCCACCTCATTGGACACTGCACAAAAGCAAATAACGGCGAAAAGGGTCGAAGAAAAGAACTTGAAAATACTGCGGTAAATTTAGCAAAAGCGGAAGCTAACGAAAGTGTGCGAGAGAGGTGGTGGAAAGAAAAGCAAACTATGCATATAAATATGAGAGCATATAATGAAAGAAAGACGTTACAAATTCAGTGTGTATTCTGATTCACTTTCATGCGTTGTTAACTTGGTCAATATTCAACAATGGTCAAATATCAACAAATTAATCAAAACCCGCACAAAAAGCAACACACAATGTATGGCATAGTTAAATATATATAAAAAATTAGAAGAAAAGTAAGAGGAATAAAAATTGATCATTGGTCACTTAACCAATATGAGACCGCTAGTGTGTTTAACATGCTAACGTGTACTCTTCGGTTGCAGTGCGAAGTAACGAAGTTAATTTCCGTCTCGTTGGTAGAAATAAAAAGATACTCGGAAGATTTACATTTTTTCGATCTGTTTGTAGCAGTTTGGTACAAAATAAAGGCCTATTATATGAAGAGTATTTAATAATCGACTCTGATGTTTCGTAATATGAAGAGCGGTGGTGCGCTTCTTCGATTTGCTATATCTTAATCGAATATTAATAATGTTAAAGAGTGGTTTCTTGCGAAACCATTCAGTGAATTTGGGGTATGTAAACGGTGTTTACGCGGTGACGTGTAGTTTGGTTTTCAATAAGGTAATACTAACTCTTTACTGAGTTAGTCTTTTTGAGAGTTTGGTTTGCCATTTCATAACGAACAGACTTACTCCGGAAGTTGTTCCGAAAAATCATCCCAAATCGAGATGGATGTTTGGTGTGATTTATGAGAAGAGGAAATCGTTGGTCCATATTTCTTCAAAAATGAAGCCGGCCATAATGTTACAGTCAATGGGAATGCTATAGAGCCATAATTAATGAATTTTTCATGCCTGAATTGTAGGATGTTAATGTGGACCATCTTTGGTTCAAACAAGACAAGACATGCTATACATCCAACAAACAATCAATTTATTGAAGGATTATCTATTATCACTGGACTATTTTTTGTGCCGTTATGTGAAATCCCTTATATATGTACATACGTAGACAATTGTCTCTTTGCAAGAGAATATTCGTTATTGCTGACATCCGACCCCAAATGCTGTAAAATTGGGCTGCTCGAAAACATTTTTAAAACATAATGGCAACCCTTATCTTTATAATAAAGCTAAATTCTTACCCATAATGTTAAATTATATGCGTTTTATTTCTTTCTAAAAACCACACGTCTAAAAAAACACTATTAATGACCCATGACCAATCATTGGAGGGTATATTTGGTAAAAAGTTAATTAAATGGGCCATGAGATAGAGGTCATAGTTCCTCTAGTTAACTTGCGGTTCCCGACAAAATATTAATATCAAAAGTAATTAGTAGGCACAAGAAATATTGCCGGTAAGTTCGAAAAACCCACATGTATCCGAGTTTGCTGAAAAATAAACTATTTTCGTTACCTATTGAGTACTTTTAAGTTTTATTAAGTGCAGATTATGAGTTCTTTCGAATTTTGAATACATTTCGAGTACTTAGATACTTTTTAAAATCGTGTACAGATTTCATACCAAAGAAAATGTTACAGCTTATGTTTAGATGTATGTTTTTCCCATCTGTGGCGAAGTCTTGGTCGTATCGATCGTATCGGTGCTTAGTAGCGAATTATAAAAGCGTAGAACTAATGAAAGCAACAGCGAAAGCATTTTAACCGTTGCGTTTTGTAAAAAAATCATATATACATATGTAAATTTATAAGAGTGTGCATGCTTAGGTAAGTATTAATTCTGTTATTTGTTTATTCTGCTGGCGATTTTGTGGCATAATCGTCGTTTTTATTGTGATGACTACTAAATAAGAGTGTATTTTATATTGTTGTTGCATTTTACATTTCAGTTGTGAATTTATAATTTGCGGAATTTTTTCTCTTTTTGTTTTCTTGCTTTTTTTCGAAAAAGAACGGCAGCGCAGACAACGTTGACCTACTTTTTGGCCGAGTATGCTCAAAAGCTCACAGACACTATTGCCTTTGGGAATGTGTGTGAAAACGCACCCATTTACAAACATGTGGATATTTGAACTTGATCAGTTTTATTTGTTTTTGTTGTTGTTTGTATATTTCGCGTGCTAATTAAATGAAACTTAATTTTTATGTGAGAAATGCGTTACGTATGCAGCGACTTTGTATGATAAAATGGAGATGGTGAAGCAATAGGAAGGCAAAAGAGAATTTGCCGTTGTTGTTGTTATCATCGTTTTTATACTCTCTCAAAAAGTTGCTAGAAGAGAGAATTATAGTTTTGTTCACCTAACGGTTGTTGGTAAAACCTAAAACGAATTGAGATAGATATAGGAATATATATATAAATGATCGGGATGACGAGAAGAATTGAATTTCGGATAACTGTTTCTTTGTCGGATAACTTGAGTAAATTATGATATGCCTTAAACACATGCAGGATCCTCAAAATCATGTGCAAGGGAACTGAAGGAAAAGACGCCTACTTTTTGCTCACACGGTATCGAAAAGACTACAAGACAGTTGTTAGCCTAGTAACAGTTCACAACTTACTAACATCACATGTGAGCCGAATGGACATTACTATGTTGACATATGCAGAAAGTGTTTTGAAATAGGCATGAGAGAGATGCTGGAGTACCTTCCCTGCTTCTGTCCGGCCTTGTCTAGAATTCACCTTAGATATCAATATTAGATATCAAGTTTCTCTTAAACTTCAGCTTATATTAAACTGTAGCTACATTACAAAGAACCTATAGGTCTATGTATGGCATGACAGCCAGCCGGTGTCACCTTACATAACTTGAACTTGATATACGAAATTACAGTTGGGGAGGGATTTGTGGTTGACAAATTATGAAAAAAGTAGGCGTGGTCTCGTACTGAAATAAGTTTATCGTAGATTATTTAGACATCCTTATATCCATACAACCATATTTTCCATATGACAATATTTTAAATCGCATCAGATTATTTACATTTAAAATAGATAAATTAAGCACCAATAAAGAATGAACAGTGCACAGATAGTGCCTTCAAGGTGGTTGTTTT